AGTTCTAAAATGCAATGAAGTCTAATTGTAAAAAATCCAAAACAGGAAAAAAAATGTGGATGCGGCACCTTCTCACAGATGGAAGCTTGACGAGGGAAGATCTGGAAGGATGTTCGGAAATAATCTAAGAGGCAGAGAAGGACGATGCCACTTGAAGGAAGGAGAGAGACCGGGCCACGTAGAGAAATCAAGAAAGCTCAAGATCGGACAGGATGGATGGAGTTTGAGCCGAATATCTCCCGTTCAATAGACGACCAAACAAGAGACAATGCATTGCCCGGCCTTCTTCTTTACATACAGGCTTCAACGCCAAGCATGTAACTCAAAGTGAGCTGGGTATGGGTAGAAAGCGCCGATCACAGAACGGAGGAGGAACACAAAATCCGCTAACAGCAGCAGCAGCAGCCCGAGTTCGGCGTGGCAGGGCTGAGTGAAGGGGCGGCGGGGGGAGGGGGGAGATAATTGGGCTCGCATTTAATTGGTATCCACTCAAAGCTGGACTGGAAATTAAGTGGACTGTAGAAAGCTGGACAGGTCTCTCGACGGCTTGGCAACATACATGAGTAAATTGTCAACGTGACATTCTTGTGCACCACATCACGCACTGGCTGTCGACTGTAAAGATCCCGTGCTGCTTTAATGAAACACCAGGTGTGACGCGGCGTGGTTTTTGTTTTTTTTGTCGCACTCTTCATGGCTCACCCATGCAACAATAAACGTACAAAGGATTACGGGGGGTTCGTGCGGGCTTCACGAGACGAGCCACGTGCTCCCTGAGGCCACGGGCCAAGCAAAACATTAAACGATGGCCACAGCTTCTCAAATAACGTCACCAAGTGCACGCCATCGGGGAATCTGCGTAGGAACAGGTTAAATCGTTATTGAATATGTAGTAGAGCAGTACCTGGGGCGCTCTGTGTGTGTGTGTACACATCAGCAGCGTTGACACAAAGGTAGCTGAGCATGCTGCTGCAGTCTGAGACAGGGGTCGTCAACCTGCGGTGACTTGAAATTGGAAAAACAAATTGACTCTTGTTGTTTTGTGTTGCCGACTGCTGACCATGGGAAGTGCAGTTCGCCATAGGCAGGGGTCAGCAGACCTGCGGATGCGGTGGCTCTTTGAGGACCGCTTGGCGACGTTGTTTTTTCAGGACAATCGCCTCGTGTTCACGTGGCACTAACGCTATTGGAATATTGAATTGTTTTCCCGAATTCGAAAAATAAAACGTCCCATTGTTTTGGTTGCAGATCCCTGGTGTGAGAGTGCCTGCTGCTTCAGTCTTTCAGACTGTACAGCGGATCGATGACCTCTGACAGTATATATATAGACACGCGCACACTGCAGACGCAAACATCAATACAGTACAGCATATTGAAACACAGCCGTTATACACGCGAATGAGCTGGTGATACTGCTGCGTTTGCAGTCGTGCACAAATAAAACGCTCAAAACGTTTGTCAATAACACTCCTCGAAAATGATACGAATATATATTTGCTGATGTTCCGGGTAATGGGCCTTCTGCATGACAGAGAGGCCAGACAGATCGAGTAGATAAGAGTTGGAGACTGCACTTACCCCATAGTGCAGAGATAATAATTAAATGAAAGACGTTTTCTAAAGAACAGTTGTTCTACATTTGCATATGAATAGTTACCTATTAGTAGCTATTAAGTAACAACCCCTTCAATTAATTATCAAACGTATTACTCAATACACGTATTTGTATTATAAGTACAATTATGAGATGTTACCGGCACATTGCATTATGGGCGGACCTGTTGTCATGATATGTGAACCACATGTAAGTTAATATTGAGCCCTCTGCCAATCCACTGCTGGATGAAGCCCTCCCCATGCCGTATGGGTCATGGTCGTTATATAACCATTTATTTCACCACGATGATCAGTGCTGATTAATCAGGGTGGGAGGAACCTGGCAGCATAGAAGTACAGTACAGCTGTGAATTTTGCTGCACTGCCCACTGATGCCCACAGCCTATGGCGATTTGGTAATTACATATAAATGTGTGTCGACGAACGCGTCTTGGTGATATCCGTGCCTCTGGTCACGCGCGTGACCTTAGATGCGCTTTGGACCGAAGTCATCGCGGGGCACGTGCCCGATCACGTGCCCGATCACGGCCTTCCGTGGGACTCGAGTGATAAGGAGGCCAGCGGTGCACAAGGCCAGGGGTGTCACCTGTCTGAGTGTGACGCAGACAATCTGGCATCTGTGTTCGGTGGCAGGAATTGATTTGCACCGAGATCTGTTAACTGCACGGTGTTGAACTTCAATGCAGTAAACTGCACAGTTTTCATAGACGTGGGCCGACTGAGTTCTGATCGGCCTCGTGCTGACTGAGAAATATGTCCGGGTTTGGTTTGTAGAGGGAGTTGAAGACCCGAACCGAAGCGGGGAATGTTGGATCTACTCTTACTCTACTTAATATTAATGGACGAGACACTGTAGGCAATGACCCAGCTACAATAACAGTACTGTGTTATACTTAGAAGCACAGGATGTAAGTGCCGCAATAAATGTTAACCAATTAAAGCTTTTGTTATGTAAACATATATCCAGAATGTAGCCAGTGCTGTTCATTAGTTCAGGTCAAGTCTTGAATTGAGACCAGGATGCCCGCTGGTTCTCAGCCTCAGGACGAGATGTTTGCGCGACGACGAATCTCGACGAGGTGAGACAAAACCAGAGCGCATGTGGTCACGACAAACGAGCCGTGGTCCCGCAGTTCTATGCCCACCTCGGCGAGCTTCGCAATGGTGGCAACCTCTCGGATTTTTTTCGATTTAAAGCTTTCGTGACTGGTTCTTACGGTAAAGTCACGTAGAAGGAAAATAATAAAAATAAAACATAATAAAATAATTCTCACTATTATTTTATTTTTTATTTTTATAAATAATAAAAATAAAACATAATAAAATAATTCTCACTATTATTTTATTATGTTGTATTTTTATTATTTTATTACTTCCCTTCTACGTGACTTTACCGAAAGAACCAAGAAGATGAACCTCTCGGATGTTCCCATGAATCCGCCTGCCAGCCTCCCCTGGCTGCCTCCGAGGTACACAGGCAGGGCATTGCTGGTCACGTGGTGCGCGTGCACCCTGAGAGCGTCCGCGTGGGCTGGAGCACGTGGGTGTAGAGCGCAGTCTGTCTAACACTCATTACCTGGCGATGCTGCTGCTGCTGCGCTGGCAGTTGTGTAATAGCAGCACAAACAACAACGACAAGAACAAAACACTCAACACGTCTTTTTTCAATAGCACTGCCTTAAAATGAAATAGATATAATTGGTGATGTTCCAAGCCCTTCTGCAGAAGAGATCGAGTGGATATGAGTTGGAGACTGCACTTTATACCATGGTGCCCAGATAAGAATTATATTTGAAACATTTTGTGGTTAAGTTTTTATATTGGCATAGTTACCTTTATGTCATCATTGAGTAACATACAAACCCTTCAATAATCAAAGAAAACTGTATTACTAACTAAACGCATTCGTATTACAAGTAAAATAATAAATTGTGACCTGGCACATACCATTATGGGTGAATCTGTTGTGATGTCAATGAAACGCATATCGTCTAATGTTGAGATCTCTATAAATCCACTGCTAATAAAGCCCTCCCCGTGCCGTGTGGGGGTCATGGTGGTTATATGACTATACTTCACCACGATGGTCAGTGCTGAATGATCAAGGCAGGAGGAACGTGGTCGTGTTTGTGTGTGATGTTTTACGGGGGCCATGGTGTCAAGGTCTTCTTCCAGGTTCACAAAACTGTGGATAGAGCACACACACACACCTAACAGTGAGATCTTCATTAATCCATTGCTCACTAACATTTAATAATGCTCAATGGGATTCTCAAAATGCCACGTTATAAATATATATCTATATATATGTGTTTAAGGGAAAGCGCTTGCAGGCAATTCGTCTGGGTTGAAATTTCAAGATCTACTCTTTGCTAATGGTGCCATAGGATCTTAAACCCACCAAGACCTTCTCGTCAGCCATGGTCAATCCACTCCTGGATGAAAACCTCCCAAAGCCTCCAAGGCCGACTCGTGCAACCACGGCCACGGGATATTCTTGAGTAACCACTTATGAGGTGTGTTTAGCTGCACTTAATGAAATGCGCAATATACTCCGACATTCCATTTATTTGAAATGCACAATAAATGGAAAAAAACTAGACGTTGCCTATGAATGATGTGTAACAATAAAATGTAAATGAGCAAAGAAAGCAATGTTATAAAGTATACCACTGTGTATAATTAGCGTCATCTTTTGAACAAATGAAATACGTGAGCAGGTGAGAGCACATTTAGACATTGTTCCGTTTTTTTGCAAGTGAAACCCGGATAAACTGAGGCCATTGATGAATTGCCATTTCCCCTTCCACGGTGATGTATTTCATTTCCCCCACGGGACAGCAACGTGAAACATCGATAGTTTTCCATTATCAAAATACACTGGACGCAAAAGAAGCAACTACATTATAAAGCTGCCTTCATTATAACATAAAAAAAGCAATCACTAGGGGATTGCCACGACCCACTCAGACTGTTTCACATCAGGGATATTTACTGCGCTTGGAATATGGCCCCGTGGTTTAGCGGCAGAGCGAGAGACTCGCAAGCGAGAAGGTCGGGAGTTCAAATCCTGGTTGAGGCGTTGACTGAACTCATCATGTCTCTGGGGTCGATAAATTGAGTACCACTATGAAGGTAAGTCGACGGTGGTTGTCACGTGGTTGGTCTCCTCTCCACTATAGGAATGTGTGTATGTTCAACTTCTTCTGACCTGACCCTATACTGGACATCTGTGAAAAAGAATTTTATGGCTGTAAAAATACAATGATCACTGCCTCAATGCTCATCTGACTTGTCTCTTTACTGTCGTCGGTTACATAGTGAATATTTGAGCCGCGTGGGTGGTTTGAGTTCGCTTCTATCCTCCCACAGCCTCACCATGAGTTCAAGGTCCGTCATTGTGTCAGCAGCTTTGCTCTCATATTTATACGCCAGGTGCCGGCAATCCATTCCAGCTCCTTTGAGAACAGACACAGGTGAGGCTACGCACTGCACAGGACCACCTCACTGGCACGTACATCAGCGGTGGGCTCTCCTTGGCCCATGAGTTGTCCAAGGAAGTAACTTGTCAGATTTGGAGTTCGTACGATTCAGATTGGACGTGGGTACAAACCTACGTTTTCTGTTTTAGTTTCATAAAGTGGTTTTGTTTTCTCACGTGAACACATTCGACGTACCAGGGCAGTGTCTGTGATGCAATTGGAATCGTTATGAAAGCGACTCCGCGTTGCGGCGTTTGTTTTGAGCGCAGGGCAACATGAAGTGCACGCTGCTGCTGGCTGCGGTGGCTCTGCTGGGCGCGGGTGTCCACGCATTCACCTTCCGGATGCCAGAGGATGGAGCCGACACGTGGGTCGTGCTGGTGGCCGGCTCCAACGGCTACTACAACTACCGCCACCAGGTAGCCTCCTCTCCTCAACTCAGGGGCATCGCCTCGATGGGCGTGGGCCCTGTCCAATATCTCCCCGCAACGTAGCCCAGTGCCAGGACCCCCTCCGGCCTGTGACGTAACAATCCACTCAAGCGTCTACGCACGAGCCAATCTCGTCGCTCCATCTCCACGGTGGACGTCATCTTGGGAACTCTCTTTTTAGCTTTATTTTTTCCCTTTGGCTGCCGCTAGGCAGCCTTGTTCTCGCCCATGGGCCGTCGTCCCTTCTCGCCGCCACGCGTCCTGCCCAAGCCCAGTCGCTTTCTTCATCGTTGAGACTTCGTCTCTTCACCTGCGCACGCTCTCCAATGCGCGTGCTCCCTTCTGTCTCCCAGCGCGCTTGCGAGCACGCAAATTTCTCTTTGTTTATTTACTTCAGAGCTGTTCATCTTCTTGGTTCTTTCGGTAAAGTCACGACTTTACCGAAAGAACCAAGAAGATGAATCCCTGCAGTCACGAAAGCTTTAAATCGAAATTCAGAGCTGTTGTTCGATCCTCTTGATCAGTGTCCACATTAAGTGATGCTCTTTGCTGGTTTTATTGGTTTCTGGGTCGAGCCTGGTTGCATCATCCGTGGTTGGGTCTTACACGTACATTATGAGCATCTTCCTACTTTGTGCAATAATAATAATAGAGACGTGGCTAGGTGACTATTGGCACTTCATGCCACAGTTTTACCAGCCGGTCGCCCGTCCGCGTGCCAGGCTCGGACTCGCCGCGCTTGCGACTTGAGCCGCCGCTTTCAGGCCCTCACCGTCTGCCGTTGTCTCTGTGTCGCGCCAGGCGGACGCGTGCCACGCGTACCAGATCGTGCACAAGGCAGGAGTGCCCGACGAGAGGGTCATCGTCATGATGTACGACGACATCGCGGACAGCGACGAGTGAGTGACAACCCCGGCGCGCGCTGACTCAACAGCCACTCGTGGACACCGAATCTCATTGTCGCCAACACTCATCAACCCCAATTGACACCAGGGCTACAACTGCTGCTGCCATCACCTTCACAACCCCAGCTCCACCACCCACTCACACCGTGCCCTTTCATGTCTCCTACCCTTTCTGTCGCTAACCCACGTACCCTCCACCATATTCTACCCACCCCACCCTCTCCACAGAAATCCAACCAAGGGCATCATCATCAATAAGCCCAAGGGGCCTGATGTTTACAGTGGAGTTCCCAAGGACTACATTGGAGAAGTGAGTGCTTTTCGTTTTGTATATACCTCTGGCTGTCCATGCTATAATTTGTTACAGAAAGCGCTGTTAGTTATCTATTGTCAAGGCCCACACAATACAGACTGGACCGTCTGGTTATTCACATTGTGTTGTCGGCCACCACACTCAAGGTCAAAACAACTTCTCAAATTGTGTCTTTCCTCGCACTGCTCCACTTTGGAATTCCCTCCCCCCGTCATCTCTTTCCCCAAGTGTGTGCCCTCGCTCTTAGTCTCACTCTTAGTCTCGCTCTTAGCCTCGCTCGAGAAACGTTATCGCCTTTCAGCTATTGTGCCCTCAACAGCGCCGCTGTGCCGTACGCCTTAAATGGTGCACATTTTGCCAAATTTGAAAAATGACACGCAAATCACCCGATTGCAATCTGCACGGCAAAATCGTTGCCCCCTACTGAGAAAACTTTGGCAGGACCCTCCTGCAAAAGTGTCATGAGACTCGGTGAGGATCTCCCGGGTAAACAATTGTAGTAACAGTTCCTATGTAAATCGTTGCCTTGGAATGGTGTCTTGTTGTTGACCAGGGCTGGAATAAGCTTGCTTCCCGCTCGTCTCAGTGTGGCACTCCACGTGAGGGGTTAGAACCGCCCGTTGGGAGATTCCCAAATGTCTCGCTCGCTGGAGACAATGAGACCGAGGACCCGATATTTTGATTTGATTCGAATTGATTTTAAATGCCAAGCCTGAGAAAATGACTTCAATTAGCCACTTGTTTTTGTTCGTGTCTTGCCTCAACATTTGGATTTAACTGGATTTTATACACATATATAAATAAACATACATTAAATTAATATAACAATTAAAGCAAATGTTCAGTAGAGTACTGCCCCAGTGTCCCACACAGAGCAGCCGCGCGCGAAAGATATTTATAAACTCTTACTCGCCTGGCCTCGCTTGGCCTTGTTCGCTTATTAAACAGGGATCGCCACATTAAAATTTAAGGTCAATTCTGCCTACGGTGAGCGCCTAACCTCCGGCTGCTGCAGCGCGTTCCATCAATGACTGTCACGGCTGGCACAAGTAATAAATAACAACACAGCCTCTGCAGGCAACATTGCCTCTCCTCTGAGAAGTGGACCATTTATTATCACTTTGGAACAACATTTCAAGGGCAGGCTCAGGAAGTAACAATTGCTCTCATATGCAGAGTGGGTGGAGCAAGTGCTGCCTCTACTGTGTGTGGGCCAGAGGTCACTTGAAGGTGGTCTCAGAAGTAGCTCTTGAGATATCCACTTCCCAGGGTCATCCTCAGTGCTGTTGACCATACTTCTCCACGCTGGTCAGTGCCGGTGGGTGAAGGGGGGAAGCCCAGGACCGCTTCAGATATCACTCGCCACCGACGTCAGCCATGGCAAGGAATCGCACCTAGATCGCCGGGTTCGCAGCGCAGTGTGCTAACCACAGCACCATCACTCCACAAATAAATGTTACATTAGCAACAATTTGCCGAGCAAGTAAGGAGCGCCGCCTTCTACTCTGTGTGGACCAAAGGTCACTTGAAGGTGATCAGTGGTAGCTCTGTGATATCCACTTCCGTGAGCCGCTCTCTGGCGCCAAGGGCTGGCTGCACTGCACTGTGTTCGGCTGGTGGCGGGATGCCGATAGCACAATCGGCATGAAATTGTGGAAACGAAAAAACATGTATCGGTACAGAACAATGTTTCAGGACAGTCCTGCCTCATGGGATGTGACCAATTTCAATAATCGTTGTTTCTGAACGAGTTCTGTTGAAATCCACCAACCCTGCCTGGCCGCTGATCTCTGGATTGTCCGCTGATCTTTGCTGCTGTTCCTCACCCTGGCTTGGCCGCGTTGCGCTCGCGCAGAACGTCACTCCCCAGGTGTTCCTGTCGGTGCTGAAAGGGGACGAGGCGGGTGTGCAGGGCAAGGGCTCTGGGAAGGTGCTCAAGAGGCGAGTGCACAGCGCCCGCTCTTCACGTGATGGACAATGCGTTGAGATGTCTTCGTTTTCTGCAGACACGCACACACATTTTGACTTAGCCACAAAGACAAATCTCCCCCGTATAGCCTTAACAGACCTTTGGGGAAAGTTCTGTTAGTGAGCAACGATTAAGGCCGGCACGGCACGCCAGAGGGTGGGTGGCCAGCACCACTCCCGGCTGCCTTCGTCTCCATAGTGGCGATGCTTACACACTGCACCAGGTACTCATTTGAGGCTGAGTTGACATAGGGGAGGCCCTGGACCGGTTCAGAAAATCGACATTGGTGTTGGTGGTGGCCGTGAGCGGGAATCGGACTCGGGTCGAAGGGTTCGTAGCACGGTGCGCGCTAACCGCTGCACCACCGCTCCCCACACGGACACAGTACACATTCGTTGTATACACAAATTGTGAATCCTCGTGATTTTTTTCATGTCGCCCGCAGTGGCCCCAACGACCACGTGTTCGTGTATTTCACCGACCACGGAGCTCCGGGAATCATCGCCTTCCCCAGCGACGAGGTAGCGGCTCATCGATGAAGAGCGCGGCGAATGGTTGCACGCCGCTTCACGGCGGCGGCGACTCTGTCCTGTCACGCACGTTGCGTTTGTATGGAGTCGTCAGCTCGGATGCCCCTTGATGGCTGAGTGTCGATGGTTGGAAGCTACTCGTAGATAATCTCTTACTCTGTCCCATCCTGTCCTCCATGCTCCCAATCTTTCACATGTCCACCTGCCCACCTGCACACATGTCCACCTGCACACCTGCACACATGTCCACCTGCTCACCTGCCCACATGTCCACCTGCTCGCCTGGCTGACACTCGCTGGTTCTCAGAGTCGTGCTTCCATTCATTATGAACACGACAGCGAACCAATCCCGCGAACCGAGTGACTGTTGCGTGCGTCCCGCCGTGATGTTGGTGATGCACGGCCGCTCGGAGAGTTCCTAACGGCGACTCTCCCCACCGTCTCCATCAGCTGAGTGTGGACGACCTGAACAAGACGATCCAGTACATGTACGACAACAAGATGTACTCCAAGGTGAGCCTTGCGCACAACTGTGTTTTAAAACTCTACGTTTAACGTATTTTGCGACCTTAAAATGGAAAATACAAAATAGGCGATGACCCTTCTGTAGAAGGGGCTATTATAACATATAGAAGATACAGATTATAACAAGGCATTTTGAAATGATTACATTTATATAAACTCATTATCGTTGCATTCATTTAAACTGTCAACGGGACTATTTGGCGCGTTATCTGGTCGCACTGCGCGTTGTTCGGCACGTTGTCCGACGTTTCGTCTCGCGTGCTGGCAGCTTCTTCGGGAACTGAATGTCTGCGTGTCTGGTAGCTGCTTGAACCAAGAAACAAACGCATCAGATTGAGAGCACAGCACGGCTGTGGGAAGTCACGCGGGGCGTGAGGCTCTGCTCGGTGTCGTGACGAGGCCGACGTGTCCCCTGCTGCAGATGGTGATTTACATCGAGGCGTGCGAGTCCGGATCCATGATGGAGAACCTCCCCGCCAACATCAATGGTGACCGCCACGAACACCTCCCCCTCGTTCACAATCGTTGCAAAATTCTCGTCCCGTGCGCATCGAGGAGGTGCCGTACCCTGTCCCGCCAGGAGAACGCGGTAGAACAAACATGCCGACCTCCCCCGGTTCCGTCTGAATGGGATGGGGCAGTGGTCTTCACTCATTTTCAGCGGAGCAGCCACTGTCGCCGATTAGACGTCACCAGCATGAGGGCCGCTACACCATTTGGAACCATTGTGGGGTTGACAGCAGCACGATGACGATAATGACGGGGGGTGTTGTCACTCTTTGTGCATTGTCGGAGGCCACCAGTGCAATGAAGAACACTCGGATATAGAGCGTTTCCCCCTCGCACGCCTGGGCTTTCCCAGGGTGCTTCCGTCTCACCGTGTCGCTGCCTTCCCGCTCGTTTGGTTCCTCGTACATTTGAGTGGTTCTCTCGCCAAGGGAGTGAGCGCGTTGAAACTATTATTCGGCGTTTGTCAAGGGCAACTGAGTATAAGCTCGCGTGGATACCCTCACACGGAGAGAGCCAGAGACACAGCGCTGCCCAATGGACGATTGAAGCCCGGAGATAAATCCCTCGTGGGATCGCCGAATCCCTTCATCTACAGGCGCGTGGGGCCCTCTCATGAGCCGGCGCAAACTGCAGGCGTGCGGAGACGCAGAGGCCGTATACTGAGGCACACAAACCCGCAGAGAAACCCACAGATTCACAGAGGCACCGATATCCTCGTTAATTATCACGAGCGAAGGGATTGGTGGTTATTCTCTGTGTTCCAGTTACAAATCGAATTTGGCTGTGATGGCAGTTTTGACGGTGACTAGGAGATGTTAAGTACCTCGCCTGGTAAGCAGGAGGTCGAGGGTTCGACCCTGACGCCTGCTGTATACTTAGAGTTTGCGTGCCTCTCTCCCCGTGGTCACGTGGATTATTCTCCCGGCTCCTCCGGTTTTCCCCCCTCCACATTTAGAATGAACGCGTGTTTAGAATATTTGGCTGTGATAAATGTCCACGTGACGAGAAGCCACTTGGTTGAGCTTTCATTTGTGATGGCCAGGCCGCTTCTGAAAAAAGGGGCTGTACAGCTGAGTGGTGCCTTACCTGGCAAAACGAAACTAAATTAGGAAATAAAACGGTACAAATGTTCTCACCCACGTCCCGCCGCAGTCTACGCTACGACCGCTGCCAATAGCGAGGAGTCGTCGTACGCCTGCTACTACGACGACGAGAGGCAGACCTACCTGGGAGACGTGTACAGCGTCAACTGGATGGAGCACAGTGACCAGGTGCCTGCTCACCACCCACTCACCCCGCTCACCACCCACTCACCCCGCTCACCACCCACTCACCCCGCTCACCACCCACTCACCCCGCTCACCACCCACTCACCCCGCTCACCACCCACTCACCCCGCTCGCCACCCACTCACCCCGCTCACCACCCACTCACCCCGCTCACCACCCACTCACCCCGCTCACCACCCACTCATCCCACTCACCACCCACTCACCCCACTCACCACCCACTCACCCCACTCACCACACACTCACCCCGCTCACCACCCACTCATCTCGCTCACCACCCACTCATCCCACTCACCACCCACTCACCACCCACTCACCCCGCTCACCACCCACTCACCCCGCTCACCACCCACTCATCTCGCTCACCACCCACTCACCCCGCTCACCACCCACTCATCCCACTCACCACCCACTCATCTCGCTCGCCACCCACTCACCCCGCTCGCCACCCACTCACCCCGCTCACCACCCACTCACCCCGCTCACCACCCACTCATCTCGCACACCACCCACTCATCTCGCTCACCACCCACTCACCCCACTCACCACCCACTCACCCCGCTCACCACCCACTCACCCCGCTCACCACCCACTCATCTCGCTCACCACCCACTCACCCCGCTCACCACCCACTCATCCCACTCACCACCCACTCACCCCGCTCACCACCCACTCATCTCGCTCGCCACCCACTCACCCCGCTCGCCACCCACTCACCCCGCTCACCACCCACTCACCCCGCTCACCACCCACTCATCTCGCTCACCACCCACTCACCCCGCTCACCACCCACTCATCCCACTCACCACCCACTCACCCCGCTCACCACCCACTCACCCCGCTCACCACCCACTCATCTCGCTCACCACCCACTCATCCCACTCACCACCCACTCACCATCCACTAACCCCGCTCACCACCCACTCACCCCGCTCACCACCCACTCATCCCACTCACCACCCACTCACCACCCACTCACCACCCACTCATCTCGCTCACCACCCACTCACCCCGCTCACCACCCACTCATCTCGCTCACCACCCACTCATCCCACTCACCACCCACTAATCCCACTCACCACCCACTCACCACCCACTCACCCCACTCACCACCCACTCATCTCGCTCACCACCCACTCACCCCGCTCACCACCCACTCATCCCACTAACCACCAACTCATACCACTCACCACCCACTCATCCCACTCACCACCCACTCATCCCACTCACCACCCACTCACCCCGCTCACCACCCACTCACCCCACTCACCACCCACTCACCCCACTCACCACCCACTCATCCCACTCACCACCCACTCACCCCGCTCACCACCCACTCACCCCGCTCACCACCCACTCACCCCGCTCACCACCCACTCATCCCACTCACCACCCACTCACCACCCACTCACCACCCACTCATCTCGCTCACCACCCACTCACCCCGCTCACCACCCACTCATCTCGCTCACCACCCACTCATCCCACTCACCACCCACTAATCCCACTCACCACCCACTCACCACCCACTCACCCCACTCACCACCCACTCATCTCGCTCACCACCCACTCACCCCGCTCACCACCCACTCATCCCACTAACCACCAACTCATACCACTCACCACCCACTCATCCCACTCACCACCCACTCATCCCACTCACCACCCACTCACCCCGCTCACCACCCACTCATCCCACTCACCACCCACTCACCCCACTCACCACCCACTCATCCCACTCACCACCCACTCACCCCACTCACCACCCACTCATCCCACTCACCACCCACTCACCCCGCTCACCACCCACTCACCCCGCTCACCACCCACTCACCCCGCTCACCACCCACTCACCCCACTCATCACCCACTCATCCCACTCACCACCCACTTCCCCGTTGTAGCCTTGACAGGCTGCAGGGTAAAGTGCTGTTAGCGAGTAGCATCTATGAAGGCAAGCACGGCACACGAGGGAGTGGGTGGCCAGCACCACTTCCGACCGACTTTGTCTCCCTAGTGGCGATGTTTACGACTACACCAGGTACTCATTTGAGGCTTAGTCGACTTAGGGGATCCCCAGGACCGGTACACAGAATCGAACTCGGGTCGCCGGGTTCGTAACGCAGCTCGCTAACCGCCCCCCGCACCTCCGCTTGGCACGGTTGGCTCATTGGAGGTGCGAGAAAAGTTCAACAGACAGCATTCCCTTGCCAGTCGCGGGGGCTAGGTTCCTGAAACTCACGTGATTTCCAAAACCCTCGAGGTATTGGAGTATATACGTACACTACCCCCATACATACGTTCACTACCGTGTACGTATTGCTATTGTTGTGTTGATGGTGATATTAGACTAATTTGAAACAATATGCGAACCCACTAAAATAAGTTCATTTTGAAGTGTCACTGACTGCTAAATAAAAAAGGGAAAACTTTAATGCCACGAAAACAATATCTGCAATTTTTTAAAATAAAAATATAATATACTGATGATACAATGATGGTGGTGATTGATGATGACGATGATGATGGTGCCTTGCAGGCGGACCTGACCAGAGTGAATCTGAACGAGCAGTACGAGGTCGTGAAGAAGAACACCAACACCAGCCACGTCATGGAGTTCGGTGACAAGGTACGGCGCCGAGTTGCCTCCCCCGATAAGTAAGATCAGGGAAGAGTCCAGATTTGTACGTATGTATGTTGGTCTTCTTTCGCACCGTACGTAGCCAACCGTGCCCATCGCAGGTGCGGGGGAAGGACAAACTAAAAGCAAAAAACAAGTTCTAAAGAAATTCGTTTCAAATTAGACTTGCATCGAAATCCGCGAGAGCGCCGATGTTGCTGGTGGGAAAGTAGCAAAGGAAAGTTTGAGTGCCGACTTGATGCAAGCCTATCGGCGAGAGTTGTCGGTGGACTCTGCATTTCATCACTTTGACGCGGCTGAAAGCAAAATCGGGATGAAATTGGGTCAACCAGTGGCGGCTGGTGATATTTATTTTTGGGGGGGCGCATTTTTTTTATTTTATTGAGGGGGGCAAATAAATATAAAGCAGTACCAAAAACCATTTTGACTACTAGAAAATAAATTTTGATGATCTTTATTTACATTTCAGACCAAAAGAAGTACCAAAAAGCATGTTTCCTACTTGAACATAAATGTTTCTCTTTTATATACATTTCAGACCAAAGAACCAAAATGCATGTTTCCTACTTGAACATAAATGTTTCTCTTTTATATACATTTCAGACCAAAGTACCAAAAAGCATGTTTCCTACTTGAACATAAAAACGTTAGTTTCATGCTATTATCAATATGGCTGCGGCTACTTTCATGACGTTTGCATTTGTCAGAGAGATGTTTGAGGTCTCTTACCCCCGTCGTTGTCCACAAAACTTCAGTGCCGACACTTTGAAATAAAAGACAGGGAAAACAAAAAAGAGAATTGCTAACATCACATCCAGCCAGCCACCTCCGTTTCTCATAACAAGCGCGGGTGAAGCTTCGTGTGTAGCTTCGTCCTCTGTCACTGGCCTGCTGCTGGATTTGTAAATCGGGTTGGTCCGGTCCGAGATCCTTTATCTTTTTTATTTCTTCCAGCGAAAGCCTTGTGAAAGGGTTTTTTTGTAAATAAATTACAGAATTTGGATGAACTGCTGCCATTGTTTACACAAAAAATTTGATCAGCCTAGCAAGTGTCAAAGTGGTGTCGCCTGCGCACTCGCAGTAGTGGCCCAGAGCGTAAATTTGAATGACAGGTGACGAGAACCAATCAGATTGGATAAAATAACATGTATCCAATTCTGATTGGCCAGGGACGCAACGACTTGCGCCCCGAGGAGAATCTTTAAGAAACCAATTAGAGACCAGCTTCAGGTCACATGCTGTCCGAACATTTAAAGTCTCACATAGACATCCATTTGTCCGGCGCCCCGCATGAAACACATTGAAAAACATAGAAAATAGTTGACCGATTAAAGCCAGTTTTTATTAAATGCTGATGCTTTTCTTACTACCAGCCGGCACATCGTATGAAAAAATATTTTATTTATATATTTTTATATAAATTTTGTATATGTATATTTCTTGAATATTGATGGGGGCGGCGCCCCTGCGCCCTCTATTGACGAGCCGCCACTGGGGTCAATAGACACAAACACAGCACGCCACGAGACGAGAAAGAAGAATCCAACCCGTTACAAGCAGCCGCAATCCGACAATCGTCGCTGTTTCCGCGCAAAGATTTCCATGCCGATGCGCAAGCGCGAAAAAAACAACGACGGCAACCCCCAAGTAGCGACACGTGCTTCTTTGTTTATCGCCCCGCCCCTCACCCCCACGTGACCTTGACGTCACAGTCCATCTCCAAGCTGATGCTCATCGAGTTCCAGGGACAGAAGCAGCAGCGCTCGCCGCGTGTGCTGCCCGCGGCGGGTGGCGCGTGGCCGCCTCGCGACGCCGTGGCCAGCCCCGACGTGGTGCTCGCCACGCTCTCGCGCAGGCTGCAGCAGCTGCAGCAGCAGCAGCTGCAGGCCGACGGCGACAACGCGCAGCAGACGCGACTGCTGCAAGAGATCGACGCGCAGATGCAGGTCCGGACGCACACGCGCACACACGCGCACGCACACACGTGCACACACACACACACGCGCACACACACACGTGCACGCGCACACACACACGCGTGCACACACACACACGTGCACACACGTGCACACACGAGCACACACACGTGCACATACACGCACGCACGCGCGCTCCAGCTGTGTCCCCTGAACGCCTACCCACTCACTTGCATACGGACCTACTCGCCGACCAATGCGCCTACATAGGTAAGGGGAGGAAAGTGTGAGATGAATGTGTGTTGAGTGGTGGGTGAGCGACTGGAGCTGGGTGGTGGTGGTGGGGGGGGAGGCAGCTGACGTCCATCGTTGTGCAGGCGAGGCGTCTGATCCGCGAGTCGGTGGAGCTCATCGTGGAGCTGTCGACCGCCACGGCGGAGCAGGCGAGCGCCGTCCTCAGCGGCTCCCCGCGGCCGCGTCTCACGCAGCACGCGTGCTACCGCGCCGCCACGCGCCACTTCAAGACGCGCTGCTTCAACTGGAACACGCCGCTGGTACGGAGACGTCCCGTGAGCCGTGAAGCTCTCTCTCTCACAGGTGGCAGTCGGGGCGGGTCAGAAAGGCAAACGATGCAGAGCATGGCGGAAGGCCGCTGCGATGATTATTTCCCTCCGACGCGATGTTTGTTTCTCACGGCGAGCGGAGTGAAACGTCGGACACCATGTCAAACAATTCACAGTACAACTCAAAATGTATCAACCCTCGGAGACACAAAACTCCATACCCACGCGGTTAGCAAAGTGGTATGCCGAAGGAAAACCGTGGATACATAAATACGGCGGATGCGGGAAAACGCGGTTGGCAAGGGATTGCTGCAGCTTGGTTCTCACTGGAAGCTGCAGCTTTGCGATTCATTTGTAGCGCTGCCGCACAGCGACGTTGACTTGTTGATCTACTTCCCTGCGCGATGCGAGGTCGCTTGAGATTAACAGCGCGTGCGATGAACCCCTCCGTGTGGCGCGCAGTACGAGCACGCCCTGCGCTACGTCTACACCTTGCTGGCAATGTGCGAAGAGCGCATCCCCCTCGCCAGGTGAGTGAAGGGGGCACATCACGGATCCACGTGAAGAGGAAATCAGCGTTCGATGCTTGGCCGAAGGGTTACCCAGTCTAGATTTGAAGCTTTCGTGACTGCAAGAATTCATACTCTTAGGTTTTTTCGGTAAAGTCACGTAGGTAAAAAATAAATAATTAAAATAAATAATACAATATAATACATTTTTGAAATAAAATAATAAATCACGACCTTTCGGAGGCAACACAAGCTTCCGTCTTCAGGTGGAACCGTCACAGCACAATTGCTGTATCAAGTAAAGAGTCAGTATGCCTGTACGTACACGAGACTCCAGCGTGATCCATGCGTGAGACTCCAACAGAAGTGGTGGATCTGAACATTTCCCAAAGGAAGGGGTGGAGGGCTGTCCTGAAATGTAAGGCGTTTTAAATAGGGGCACGCATTATATATGAACGTAGTGCGTTTCTGTTCCTGGTAAACATCACTGCAATGTAATTTGGGTTGACATCATTATCAGCCTTTAATAATCCACTGCTGGATGAAGTCTTCCCCCGGGCCATCATCATCATCATATTTCATGAACCTGCAATGTGACATTCCACGTAGCGGCTGCATGCGAGCTGACGTCATTGCTCCATCTCCTCAGCAGACATACTCTCGGTTGCTTCCAATCCGACCACTTTTCAAATATTAATTCAGGCTGTGACATTTCATATCGCGGACGAGCCCCCCAGAAAATGTCACAACTTTAATTAACATTTTAAAAATGACTGCTTCATTTTCCACCCCATAACCAGAATCAATGTTGGTTTAAGTAACAATTTTACCTACAATTTTAACACACATTTCATCACATCCTGCCCAAGCCAACCTTAATGTTCTATCACGGTTAGAATGATGCCCTTAACCTGCCATATTTTCTCTGATTCCATTTCAACTCCCACAGTACTTGGCGTTTAATGGACCTTAATGTTTTGATGAAGATGTGAACATAGTTGACAGCGGGGTGGTGGTTTGTAAAGTATGACTCGGTGTGTGTTTCATGGGGGGGGGCACAGCAGTCGAGGAGAATGAACGTGTCGCTCTTGTGTGCCCCTCTGCAGCATGCTGCGAGCCATGGACAAGGTGTGCAACGCTGTGGCCTAGCGACGTCGCCCTCCGTGCCAGAGGAGCCGCAAGCGGCGGCAGCAGCAGCAGCACCACCACGTGTCCGAAGAAAAATAAAGTGCACACCGCCCTCATTACTACTACACTGACGAAATGAGCGCAACGTGATTGTTTTGTAATTTGCAAGTGTATTTTTTTTTAAACATTATCAATAAAAAATGAGATTTGAGGATGTGTTCGTTGTACTTGAGCGTATGACCGCAGCGTTCCCATCGTATGCACTTGCGTGGAGGCCACTATTGACTCTGGTACTGCTGTAGATACTTTTAAAATATCTCACTATTTTTTGCGCTCTCTGTGCCACTTCGTGGGACAAATCACCGTCGCACAAATCTCACAGAGCAGTGGCAACGAGGATCTCAGCAAGAGCTTTTCACAGGACCTTGGAAAAACCCCCTTAAGTTGCCTTTTTATACTTGCTACGAGACTGGGGTTTGTTGCATGACGAAACATTTTTTAAATTCTTAGAATTTAAATTTAGCCAAGGTGAAAACCCAACCTTTAGTGATTTTTTTATGCAGACAGAGGTGATCGGGCTGAGATCATCAATCCACTCCACTTGAGACCCCAGTTTAATTACAGGCGTCTGCTCGGATTCCAATTCAGTTTATCTACCGTGCCACCTCCTCTGACTGAGCACGGTTGGCTACATACGGTGCGAAAGAAGTTCAACACACATACAGTAGATCCAGCTCAGCGCTCTGGCCTCTGAACCACCCGGCCACCTCTGAGCTCTAAACCATTCTCGGCCTCTCTCACTCCCAACTCACAAACATTCACCAATGTGCATGTGGGTGCACTGCGGTAGAACAACCCTTCTTACTGATATGGCGTCAGGAGACCTTCACGCAGATGCAGCTTGACAAAGAGCTGAAATGTACAATTATTGTCAATGAAATGAAAGAAAGATGGTAAGGTTAACTCAAAGTTGCAATATCGTTGCCACTCAAAGGTATATTGGCTAAGGGCAGTGACTCTCCCAATAGGTCCCGGCATCTCGGATTACAGAGCCGCTGGCTGTAGCTTAGCAACCCAAGGGCCTGTCACTGTGAGGGACCCACACGCTTTGTCCATTCTGAGTTTATAATGACCAGAAACAATACAGGCACTCCTCTACTTACGAATGAGTTAGGTTCCAGTGGTCTGTTCGTAAGTCCAACTTTAATCCTGTCAATTCCAAACGTTGTACGGCATGTGCACTAAACACGGAGGATGGCTTTAAAAGTTGTATAATCTCCTGTCGATGTAGATGCCACTGGTTCTTTACGTTCTACAGATGTAGATGCCACTGGTTCTTCACGTTCTACAGATGTAGATGCCACTGGTTATTCACGTTCTGTAGATGTAAATACGCACTACAATGACAATAGTTTAAAGCGATTGAAGCATGTTTTATATTGGGGGAGGGGAAGGCAGAGCTTTGTGACGTCATATTTGACGGGGGTCTCACTTTTTATGACGCCGTGTGACGAGGGAGGGGGGGTCAAAAATCGTCCAAAATCGCGTGACGTCATTTATGGACGGCCCCTAATCCACCTTCGTGCGAGCAGAGTCGTCATTGTGGTGAGATGCCAGCAGCGGTGTGAGCAGGCAGATGACAGGAACAACACACGCGCCTGCTGTTCGATACCGGGGAAGCGAAATCCACGTCAGTGTCCAGTGTCAATGCCCCCACGTCTCCGTCAGTGGCAATGCCCCCACGTCTCCGTCAGTGTCAATGCCCCCACGTCTCCGTCAGTGGCAATGCCCCCACGTCTCCATCAGTGGCAATGCCCCCACGTCTCCGTCAGTGTCAATGCCCCCACGTCTCCGTCAGTGGCAATGCCCCCACGTCTCCATCAGTGGCAATGCCCCCACGTCTCCGTCAGTGGCAATGCCCCCACGTCTCCATCAGTGGCAATGCCCCCACGTCTCCGTCAGTGTCAATGCCCCCACGTCTCCGTCAGTGGCAATGCCCCCACGTCAAATGTTTTCAAATGTTTCTGCTTTCATTACCCCACCCTCGCCCACTTTGCTCAAGAAGGTCTCACAAGTGATGTCACCACATCTACGCCTCTACTTAAGGAACGATACAGGAGGATTTCTACACAAATCTGGCTGTCGCCTGATGAAGCCAGTTGTAATTACTGGCGAAACGTCGTACTCAGATTGTAAATGTTGTGGATTGGCTCTCCAATACACCGGTGCTGCTGTACTAGTATAATACACTATTACACACTACACTACTACACTACACAATACACTATACACTTGTGCTGTACTAGTGACGAATTGGCACGTTCTGTTTACGTGACAACCCTTACTAGTTGGCTGTGTCGTGATCTAACCCCAAAAAAGCCCATCATGGACATTTCAATCAGCTTCGAGGCATTCACTTTGTCGCAATCGGTGTCCACAAGGGGGCGATGCAGTCTCAGGAACAAAACGATTGGCGACATCAAAATCAGCTCTGGGGGGTGCGGCAGCCGGCCCAGTGGATAGCCCAACACTGCGACTGGAAACAAATCTCGTGGTGGTTGTCAAGGGGGCCCAGCTCGTAGCTGTGGCCACCGGGGATGGGTGGTGGTGGTGGTGGCGAGGCACCTCCCTGTCCCTCGCTCGTGACGCCGCTGGTTTGCGACTGCCACTGGAAGTTGCTGACACGGAACGCCGAGTGCCAGAATCAAAGGCGCAGCTCCGAAATGTCTCGCTCGCACCGCTGCCGGTGGAAGCGCTACCACTCGAGGGAGCCCTGCAGAGGCGACTACCCACACTCCACCCCACCCACACTCCACCCCACCCACACTCCACCCCACCCACACTCCACCCCACCCACTCCACCCCATCCACGCTTAACCCCACCCACGCTTAACCCCACCCACACTCCACCCCACCCACACTCCACCCCACCCACATTCCACCCCACCCACACTCCACCCCATCCACACTCCACCCCACCCACACTCCACCCCACCCACGCTCCACCCCACCCACGCTCCACCCCACCCACGCTCCACCCCACCCACACTCCACCCCACCCACGCTTTACCCCACCCACGCTTTACCCCACCCACGCTTTACCCCACCCACGCTGTACCCCACCACGCTGTACCCCACCACACTTCACCCCACCATGCTCCACCCCACCACACGCAACGTGATTAAGCTGCGACTCTGCGTGGGATATCCTTTCACTTGACGCTGATGGGTGGACAGAGACGACGTGATGCGGTTTATGAAAACCGCTTCATTGTCCAGTGCGCTAACCCATCGCACCACTGCAACGACCTCAAAGACTTCCATTTATTCAGGGAATACATTGAGGTCTACACGTAGAGCCTTACTAATTCGACACACAACCTAACAGGCATCACTGACAAGTAATCATGCTCGGTTTATTGAATACAAAGTTAAATCACGGTTTGTTATTACATACTCAAAGTGAACGAAGCTGGTTTGTTCAGTCAATAAGAGGTATTTTAGTAAAAATATATTTCGTGAGGACACATCAGAATTATATAATTTAAAGTCAATATATGTATAATCCACTGCGTTCTTCCACACACCAGAAGCGTTGTGGATGGATTTTTATCTTTGACTTGATGGCACGTCATTAGTAATCATTACACAAATATGTTTGCACAGCTGTACAGAAACCTAGAATCAACACAACGCAAGAACACATTCGTATAAATAATGTAGCTGCACCCAGTTAGAGCTTAGTGTATTAAAACTTGACTACAATGCCTGTGTTGCCGATTTGTGTTCAACGCCACTGTTTGAGACGACGCTCTCAAGAAAGCCGTCTCTGGTGTGGACCAATCAGTTTCAAAGACAACGCATCATCATCTACTATCAGGGCATGTCTTCTGTTTGCATGTTCAACACAAGTACGTGTGGTTAATGCAGACATGATTCCTTGCTAAAGGTTTCAGTTTGGTGTTTTAACATCTTAACACCACTGTTTTATTGCCATAAAGGGTAACACCTATTCTTATATGTGGGTTAAATATTGTTACATTTCGTCATTTACCGCAAGTGCTCAACAAGAGGAAAATAGTGACGATTGCGATCCACGAAAGAAAATTGAATCTCATTCGATGCACGCATCTCCAAAGGACAAAACAAACGAGCCATCCCCTATTCCTCTTGTGCATTAGATAAAGAGAGTATTACGCGCACAAGTTTTTACGTTGGAAAAAATAGATATCTCAGTGTGGCAAAGAAGTTGTCAATAACAGTGCATTGCAGTGACTGCACAATCTGTACAAAGTGTCAATATGAGCACCCAGTCATTACTTCAGTTGGAGACACGCTTGGAGTCTTAACTAATGTTTGTCATTACATTCTCGTCAACAATAAACGAGCAACACTATTTCCCCAAACCGATCTCACGCCTCAATACACCTCAGTAGTGATGTAAGCTTGTTGACGGTTCACCCGGTCAAACGGTATGAATTGGCACGCAACAAAACACACGCATCTGTAAACGGTTCGAAACACCATTCCGTGGATTAAACACACACGTAAAGTCACAGCAAATACGATATCTAAATGTCTGCCAATCCATGACATTAATGTGGCAATCAGGAGTCGGTTGCCTTACAGACCGTGACAAATCGGTGCTTTCAATGAAAATGTATTGAAGGATGCGCAGAGCTGACAGATGAGAATGTGAGCAAGGCACTTGCAACGCTCGCTTCAGAAAGAGGGAGCAGTGCTCTTGGTCGTAAAAACATTTCATACCCTGTCGAGACCACGCACGTTCATGGAACACAGATTACTCGTAAAGTTTCCAAGCGTTGCTCAGATCTTCCTTCTTTGTACCAAATGCCACGTGATTTTTCATTAGTGTCAAAATTCAGAGCTCCGTTGACAAAAAAAACAACAACCCATAAGCGAATTTGACAGCACCATGAATTGTCTCCCTCTTATCACGACTCAACTGATCGTCCTGCGCTGAACCGAGCTGGCTGGTATCACGAGCGGGGCAACCGCTTGTGTGCGGGAGACAGGAGCCAGAGTAGAGTTTGTCGACCTGTGTCACGTTGCATTGTGACCTCCTGGCACGAGTGGGGGTTCCCTCCAGGCACTCCAAGCCTCCTCCAACATGACGCAGAACATCCAAAGTGGGACCCTCATAACACGTGCCTTGGGAATCTGCGAGGCCGTTCTCCCTGTGTAAATAACTCCCGTGTTGCATTATAAAACATGCACGTGTGCGTGTTAAACCTATTCCGCACCGTACGTTAGCCAACCGTGCTAATCGGAGTTGCGAAACATGCTGCCATGGGATAGTTGCCGCCAAGATGTCCACGTGACATGTTGACATTCACAACGGCGACGTCTCGATAGAGTGATACGCTGGACGTCAACGCCGCGTGTGTGCGGTGCCATTGCCCAGTAGAGCTGTGTTTACGTGAGGGCATCGCTCGGCACCAGACCCTCCGTGAGCACAGCTGACCTGATCCTGACTGAATTCTGTTTTACTTGACTTCACTGGTGGCGATCGTCACAAGTTGAATCAAAGCAAAAACCCGAGGGCCTCAGGCAGCATCCACTATCAGCTCGAATTCATATCCTAATCAACATTAAAAACCTAAATCTTCACTTAAAGCTTTCATGACTGCAGGAATTCATATTCTTTGGGGCTTTCGGTAAAGGCACGTAGATAGGTTGAAAGAAAATAACAGAAAACGACGACGTTTCGATTGCAACACAAGCGGTCGTCATCAGGAGGAGGAAAAAAACGATAATCGCATGTGTTGTGATCGAAACGTCGTAGTTTTTTGTTATTTTGTTTGAACCTATTTACGTGACTTCACCGAAAGACCCAAAGAATATTAAAAACCCATCTAACATAAAAAGGGTGAATTTATCTCTCGCCTTGCTGTTGTCTGCGTCTCTTTCATCTTGCGCCTTCTTTGACGTCTACAACTCTGTTCCGTGTGCATCTTTCTATACTATAATCTCACGACATCTCTATCTACTCTCCACATCTCTTCCAACACCTCCACTCGGAGTTGATAAATAATCAGTGTTCTGCATCGGGCCCCCCAACCGACCAGCAGCAGCACCACCACTGCTTGTTCACCTCCACGTCAAGTTGTTGAGGTACCACGCTCCCGGTCACCACTTTGGTGGGGCGGTGAGCCCAATCTCCAACCCCCGTCTCTCATCCCGGGAGCTGCAGAGTTCGGGACTGAGGTCCGTGGAGTTTCTGTAGCCCTCCTACCTGCGTGGCGCTCTGTGCTCTGTACCGGGCTCTTATTGAAAAGTAAAATCCTCGCTTAAGTGACGACTCTTCAACTTCACCTACATTCCCGCTTTACCTTCCTTCATCAGAATCTTTACTGAGGCCGGAGGTAATCCTATGAGCTATGACGCTCTTTTTCACAGACGACCAGTGGGACACATTATGTTCACCTCGACTTGAGGAATGAACTCGAGTCCTTAAAAGAGACGGACTCTTGTGTTAAAATGAGCTCCACTCCGTCTTTTGTTATAAACAAAAAAAGAGGGCATTTGTTCAGAACACAATCACAAGTGCATGCACAGCTACGGTTGTGCTTTTGCAATCGACAATGCATTGGGACGGGCACACACACGCACACGGAACACACAAGACGTCTGCGCTCACGCGCGTGGACGCGACGACTTGGCAATGGCACAGGCCGGGCAATACGAGGGGGAAGTGCAACAGTGATGATGGCGAGCGACACACCACGTGTCACGGCTGTTTGTTCTGCGGACGCTGCCACGAGTGTACGCAGCAGCAGCAGCACGCTCATTGCATCTCGTGGCTGAGTCTTTGTTGGGTTCGGGTTGGGTTTAGAGTATCTGGCTGCTGTAAATTTCCACGCGACAAGCCACTCCTTTAGGCTATCGTACGTGGCCAGGTCGCTTCTGAAACAGAGCTGCAAAGTGCGATCAAGTCGCGCCTTACCTGGTAAAATAAACAACGTTTCGTCTGAGTATCTGTTCAGGTTGGGTTCAGGTTTGCTGACGGCAGCCGCTGGGATGTACGCCACGCTCGTGTGCTGGGGGCAACGGGCGGTCACGGGGAGCCCTGGTCCACGGGCACATAGCCGGGCACCGGCCCGTCCAGCGCCCGCTCGGGCCCATCGTCCAGGCTGCAGAGCTGTCAGGGACACGCAGCTCCATGGCTCGGTGCAACAAGTACGCCTCGGTGCAACAAGTACGGCTCGGTGAAGGTGCAGCGCTGCAATATGTTGCTCACACTGCTGCTGGTGCAATGGCCTCCTACCAGATGGAGGTCTCTAGACAGGAGGGCAGGGGGTGCCCACACTTCACCCCACTTATGGAAAACCGCTGTTCGACTAACTGTGGTGGACACGTTTATACTGCTGGGCACGGTGGGGGTGGGGGGTGGGGATGGGGATTTAAGAAGCTTGCGCCGCTGTTGCAAGTGCCGCGCCGGGAGATCCAATTGAGCCGGCCACCTCTGGATTGAAAGTCCAGCTGTCTCAAACTGACACCGCAGGTGCAATCTCGTCGATACATTACAAATGTAAACGGCGCATGTATACCGCCTTACTACCACTGAAGAATGTGTCGCCATTTCACGTATAACTTGACAACTCAAATGAGTTCATGGATGACCTCCGATACACCAAAATCAACTAAATCCCTTCTCCACAGTGCAAGCTTGCTCTTTGAGAGCGAGTAGCATGACCGTGCGGTGCAGGTGACACGTTGAATTAAGTTGAATGAAGCGATTGCTGTGTTGTGGTGGCTCGCTGCAGACACGAGTTGAAAGACAGATGAGCTGCAATAGTTTCCCATTCGTCCAACTAGCATTGAGTTACTGAGACAGATTCGTTCCTTTGATTGCTCGCCAGATTAGCCACTTCACGCGCAAGACAGACAATACAAATTATACGGTTAAATCAAAATAAAGAATCGTTATTCATCCATCGAATTGTGGCTCTGAATTATTGTAACTCATCACATTTGGTGGTGGTGGTGGTGGTGGGGGGGGGATGATTAGGGGTGAGTCTTGGCGAGTGAGAACCCACCTGGGCCGTCCCTCTCTCGAGGTTCGCCTTCAGCCTGCGCAGGTCCGCCTTGATGAGGCCTGGGGAAGACAACCAAGGGGGTGATGACACGAGCACGAGAAACACCGCGACGCAGCACCTCGCGTGTGAACACGCAGCGCTGTGAAGCAGCACAGCCGCAGTGATGTACACCGCCAGCCAATTAGTCAATCCTAACCTGCCAATCGCAACCTAATCAACGAGCCGTCAAACAGCTGTCATTGCTGAACTGGTTCACGTGCTGTGACTGCGTCGTGACTGTGTCGACGAGGTCATCTACTCAAGGACCTGGATCAGGAAGCACTTTCACTCGAGATCGGAGCTCTTGTTAACAACCTGATGATGCTGGGGAGCGGTAGTGTAGCGGTTAGCGCGCTGCGCTATGAACCTGGCGACCCGGGTTCGATTCCCGCTCACGGCCAACACCCAGTGACGATTATCTGAACCGGTCCCGGGCCTCCCCTAGGTCGACTCAGCCTCAAATGAGTACCTGGTGCAGTGTGTAAACATCGCCACTAGGGAGACAAAGGCGGTCGGGCGTGGTGCTGGCCACCCACCCCCTCGTGTACCGTTCCGGCCTTCATAGGTGCTCGCTAACAGCACTTGCCCCTACAGTCTGTTAAGGCTAAACGGGGGATCTTTGTCTTTGTAGATGATGTACCTGTGTGTGTGTGTAGATGACGTACCTGTGTGTGTATGTGTGTGTAGGGACGTAGTTGTGTGTGTGTGTAGATGACGTACCTGTGTATGTGTGTGTGTAGAGGACGTAGTTGTGTGTGTGTGTGTAGATGACATACCTGTGTGTGTGTGTGTAGATGATGTACCTGTGTGTGTGTGTGTAGATGATGTACCTGTGTGTGTGTGTGTGTAGATGATGTACCTGTGTGTGTGTGTGTGTAGAGGACGTACCTGTGAGCATAGTGCCCAGCAGGAGGCTGCAGCAAATGAAAATGTTGCCAACGAGCGGTGAGAAGTGTTTAGTGAGTTGTCCCTGCACCACCGTGAAGATCAAGCCAAACAGCTGTGAACAAAAAGCAAAATTACAGAACATTTTTATACACGTAATGAATTAATTATTTTTGATTGTTGTGAAAGCCCTCCACCACCCAACACAACCCAACAAATTGGGATGTGGCATAAAGTACCCCTGTCTTTGTTATATCTTGTTTGTTGTTTGTGCCTATTGTTTTGATGCCATTTGTGATTATGTTATTTTAATATATTTTATTTTTATTATTTTATTATTTCCCTTCTACGTGACTTTACCAAAAGAACCAAAAAGATGAATCCCTGCAGTCACGAAAGCTTTAAATCGAAATTTTATTGGGATGGGGTTTGCTTTCACTTGTACACCACGTGGCCATGAATATTGTTGGTCTATGTCATGTGGTGGCAGACTTCATGACAAATATCTGGCCAGTTCATTGCGTGGCCTAACCCCAAAGATCAACTACGAGTCTTAATGTTGGCTGTGAAAGCCGACGCGTCAGGTTAACTCGAATGTCTCCTTCGAGCGCCACGGAGTGGTCCGTGTGGTCTCTGCTCCTTCGCGTGCGGTTCTGCAGCCGTCGTGAATCCATTACGGACGAGGTCGGTACCTGAGCAGCTGCATTGAGAAGCCCAGACGATGTCCCCTCTGACTCCGGGTAGGTCAGCTCAGCCGCAAACTCAAAGCCCAGTGGGATGTAGCCCGTCATGAAAAACCTTAGAAAGGAGGACGCACGCACGGCCCGTTTGAATGACTGTGCCACATATTAATCCTGGCTACAAAATTCCGAGCTTCGTGCTGTCATACGCAGCGATTCTATCCACGTACACAAGAGTTCCTCACACACGTAACACCATCCAATCAGCGAATGGCAAAACATCCCAAGAAAAACCCTCCATGAAGTGAGACTTGAGACCAAAATTGAGCCTTTCGTGGGTATTTACACAAGTAGTGCATTGCAATCACATTTGAGTTTCAAGAGTACTTTCTCAAACGCCGCCGCTGTGTACATGGGACGTCGCCCTTACATCAGCCATGACTAACACGCGCCATAAAGCCGGCAATAAACGAGTGAACGATGGTAGAACTTGCAGTGAACGAGCAACTCACCCGAGCACTCCAGCGGTCACGAAGACCACCCAGAGGTGTCCGAGGTTCAGCGTGAACGTGAAGATGATCATCCCGGTGAAGGACAGGCAGTACACCGCAAAAGTCGTCTGCCTGTGCAACGCATCAGAAACAAGTTAAAGGGACCCCGTTTCATCCACATCTATGGATGTTGAACTTCTTTCGCACCGTACTGTAGTCCCCTGCCCAAGGGCAAGGCTTCGGCTCAAACTCCACCCTGCCGTTCATGTGCCTTCATTTCAACGCACGCACGCTGCCCCGCTTAAAGTCATCAAACGGCATTTTGCTAATTTACTCTCACCGCACATAGAACAGTCATCTTCACGACGCTACGCTCAGTTCTCGCTTAAACCCACTATCATCTCACGTACAGTTTTGTAATTATTGTAAGGCACTTTATACTTCTATATCAGATAAGATCCCAATTTGTCTCTTTCCAAAAATCCTTCTTTCCAGAAGCTTACTTCATTAAATTGTCAGCTCTGAGAATATGCCCCCCAATGAACACATTTTGCTATTCTATAGTTATGACTTCTCTCCTCCTGAGCCTGCTCTAGAACTCCCTCTTTGCTCTTTCTCTCCATCAAACTGATGTTTTTTTGTATCCGCCACCAACATCGTTCCAATCTTATTTTGTCTTCCTTTCCTGATCAGAGTCCAAGTGCACGTTGCATACAACACTGTAATACACTCCACGCAGTGGACACAAGTTGTTGCTTGCTGGCTAATTGGTGTGGATGGCCGCAAGTGAGCACTAAACAATATTGATGCCTCCATCAGCAGCATCATCATCAACCTTTGTCAATCCACTGCTGGATAACGACCTCTCCGTGCCGTTGCCCTTCAAAGCGATCCTACGAAGCCACGATCCAACTACGGACGCCTCCATGAGTGTACATTTACCGTCAAGCAGACGCGCACAATTGTAAAGTTTTATTTGCTTCGTATTCGCTCGCGAAGCTTCCTATCCCCGGCTCGCGGCGTTACGCGCACGGGGACACTCACTTGAACTTCTTGGTGCGATCAAGCCAAACGCCGCACAGCAGAGAGCCCAGCACCCCGGCCACAACGATCGTCAGCCCCACGCGACCGGCGTTCACTTCTTGGCCCTGAAACGCACGCCGCACAAGATAAAGACAAAGACGACCACGGCCCGGCGTAGCCATCGGGGCCGCGGGGGCAAGTGCCGTTCCCATGAAGGCCGGCACGGCATACCAGGGAGTGGGTGGTGTGGTTAACACCACGCCTCGGCCGTCCTTTTCTTCCTCGCACCGATGTGTATACACTACACCAGGTACTCATTTGAGGCTGAGTCAACCTAGAGGAGGTTCGGGACCGGTTCAGATATTCGCGACTGACATTAGCCGGCTCGCTGGGTTCGTAGCGCAGCACGCTAGACACTGCTGCCACTCCCCTTGGCACACACGTGAGCTTGATCACATCCCAGAGATGAATTCTGCTAGCGGAATCATCCAATAAGGCCAACGCAGCTCATGGTGGGAGGTGTAATCAGCACCGGACTAGACCTACTTTCCTATAATACCAGAGCCGGTGGTGACATTGCACCAGGTGAAATAGTACAGTCAGATGCAGTGTAATTTCAAGCTACTGCTGATATCCAAGTAGCGATGTTGACGGCCGCTGGCTTGGAGTTCTTGTGAAGCGGAGCAGCACCTGGTAGTGGTGGATGAACATCGGGTTGAGCAGCGTGGACACGGAGTAGAAGGAGCCAGTGTTGATGCCTGCAACATGAAACAACAGAGGCAATCACTCTACACGATAAGTATGATTAATAATGATGATGACGTAATAATGATGGTCATAATAACGATAAGGTCATCATAGATTGTATTGATGTCATTAATAATGATGGGGATAATTATCATAATGAAGATCATGATAACACTGATGGTCATCAAGATGATATGATCATGTAATTGATCATCATAATGATCATGATAACAATGGGGTCACCATCAATTATATTGATGCAATTGATAACGATGGGGATAATAATGATGATGATGATGATAACACTGATGATGACGACGATGATAACAAAGGCCTGACCATGACGTGTAAGAGGCTCTGACCATATGTGATGATGAGAAGCACAAAGGCTTTGTTGGTAAGCAGCCGTCGGATCGATTGCCAGTATGAGTAATCGCTCCGCCTCGTCTGCCTGCGCATGGCCTGCGCATGGCTCGGTGGCACGGGGGGCTCCTCCCTGAACACTGAGCACACACGCAGACGGCACACGCACGGATCTCGTGTGAAGCAGATGCAGACCCACCGATGGCATTGCTGTAAATGAGTGACCCGTCCATTAAGGATGGCAGGGCACACAAGCAGTTAAGCGTGACCAGAATCACAACCGTGTCTGACCTTGATATCTGCAATGCTGATGACACACCATGCCAGGTGACCGTTTAAGGCTGGGCCAACCTGGGTGTAGCCCACGACAGTTTCAGGAAGCATTTGCCACTGATGATGCGCATGGCCAGCAATGACTCCAGGTCGCCGGGACTCCTGCACAGGTGCACTAACCACTCACTTCACCACTACTTGCACACGCAAACATAAAAACAAGACGAAGATCCCCCGCATAGCCTCAACAGACTGTTGAGGCAAGTGCTGCTAGCGAGTAGCACCTATGACGGCCGGCACGGCACACTCGGGGGTGGGTGGCCAGCACCAAGCCCGACCGCCTTTGTCTCCCCAGTGGCAATGTTTACACATCGCACCGGGTACTTATTTGAGGCTGAGTCGACACGAATAGAGGCCCAGGACAGGGTTCACATAATCGTCCCTGGTGTTGGCCGTGAAACGGGATCGATCTCGGGTCACCGGGTTCATCGCACAGAGTGCTAACCGCGACACGAACGCTTCCCACACACACACAGAGCCCACGCGGTGTTGACGGAGTCGTGGTTCCCTCATGGCACCATGATTCCCGTGGCACCGGTCAAGTTCTGGGCCACTACCCAACAACAACAGTGGCAATTGGTATAAGAACACGGAGTGTGACTCAGCCGAAAATGTGGAACTTATTAGGTGCAATCTGCATCGATGATGAAGACAAAGCAGGTTAGGCATCATGTAGTGACCAGACCACACCCCATTATGAACATAATGATCACGTATTTTTAGAGCACTGCTTCCATGCACTGCTGGATGAAGGTCTCCAAATGCCGTGTCAATCGTGGAAGTCGCTTGAGCACACTTCACTGCGATGGTCAGTGAGGGTTTGGTGAAGGCGCCACGCAAGAACGGTTCGGATGTCACCTTTGTGGCGAGGAAGAAAGCTCGAGACACAGCACCACGATGGAGAAAACCACTCACGGCAGCGGAGGGTGTGGGGACACGTCGACAGGAGAGACGGCAAAAATAACCGAGTTGGGAGACGCTGAGTAGATACTCGGCGCTGGGTCCTGTCCTCCGGAGAAGTGGGCGACTCCACAAGAGATGGAGGCACCAGAGAGCTTTGTGAAATGGCAACGGCCACAACGCTCCGTTTCAAAGTGTTATTCCCAAGAGCGTTTGCGTGCCCGGTGCCACCCCCGTACCGATCAGCACGATGACGAAGAGCGCGGTGGCGATGGCCGCCGTGCCGAAGAACATGACGCGGATGTGGAAGCTGAGCACCTCCTTGTCGTCCGAGGCGGGCACCAGCATGGGCGGCAGGAGGAACCCCACGGCCACGCCGAGCTGCCGAGACGACGTGGGAGGTGTTACTCGACGGCACGCTCACTCCCGCCGAGTCAACATCCATCGAGTCCGGCACCATTGGTTGTGTTTCTCATCATCGTCGTCGTCATTGTCGTTGTCCTCACAGTTAATGAACACACAGCCCCAAAAGAGATAGACATACGGGCTGTTCTCCAAAGTATTCTCGGGTTGTAGTGCATGCTGTACAGTACGGTGGTTGTTGGCGATGGCTGTGAATACAGTTCTGGATGAAGGTCCCACGAAAACTACGTAAAAAAATACAATCAACGTATGGATGAATCGTAAGAATATTTATCCTAGAGTAATCCGATGAGCTATGAATGGTGGAAGCGTTCCGGGTGGACGCATAGGCATCGAATGTGATTCCTGCAAGAATTGCCCAACAATTCTATTCAACACTGCTTGCAAAAGCCAACACCGGCAAATATTTGGCTTCTCACCATTCCCATTTTAACCCTTTCCCGGAAGATAAAATAAAATAACTTTATCGGTACCGAGGCTCCCACAAGGCCATGTATTAGGGGGTATGGCAAAGTGTGGCACCAGCAATCGTGGAGTGCGGTCGTGTCGCTACAGTTCTCTGCGGTGAGTACAAAGTCTTTAAAAACGACGGCGCTACGCCTCTCTAAATAAAATGTACGCTGTGCCGCTTGAGCGTTCCGAGATTCAGGGGTGAACGGGACACCCACAGCAATTGTCTCGGACACGGGAAAGGGTTTAATGTGCACCGACCGGGGCCATACCGCACAGAAATGTGACATCTATGTTTTGTATTGAGTAACTCTCCCGTGTGTTTTCGAGTCGCTGTTCGGCATGATGTCCCACGTTTCCCCCCACGTGCCGCGGTTTCCTCATCGGAGAGCCATACGGCGCAACTGCCAAAACCTTCTCAGCCGTATAGAGAATTGACACTGATTATTTATCAGATTTTAGCCATAAGGATTTTTGTTGGCACTTAAAAATGAAAAAGACCAAGCTCGTATTAATAAGGTATATCTAATTGTTAGTTATCTCCATGAGGAAACGAGAACGGAATGTTAATACATAAATACAATAAAGTCTGGTTGTGAGATCACATTGGCTGGAATTTGTATGCCACACTTGTAAGCATAATCCTCATGACAAACCATTAACAAAGGCCCATACCAGTTTCTAATAATTCGTTATTTATTACATTTCTCGGTAAAATCACACCAGACAGACGTCGATTAATACAGAATTATCAGCACTACCGCCTACGCAGTGATTTGCGCCATTATCTAGAGAGCATGATACTTATCAACTCCCTTAATTAAAACAAAATCCAAACCATTCACTGGTCACGAGACCCATTTCTCGGGTGGGTGGAAGGGGGGGGGGGTCTTGATTTGCAACGTTCTGCCAGATGTTTTTCTCTTGGCACAATAAAAACCTTCTCTTCTCCGACTGTTACACGTGCTGCGTGTTGTTTTTGTTTCGTGTAGGAGGAAAATGTAGGGCCTGCAGAATGGACGTGCATATGAGGGCATAACGCTCATCTCCACGCGAACAAGTAAACAATATTTCTACTACCTCTGCGTACGTGGGGGGGGGGGAGCGGTAGTGCAGTGGTCAGCGCACTGCGCTACAAACTCGTCCACCCGAGTTCGATTCCCGCTCACGGCCAACACCAGTGACGATTATCCGAACCGGTCCTGGGCCTCCCCTGGGTGGACTCAGCTTAAAATGAGCACCTGGTGCGGATTGGAAACATCGCCAATAGGGAGACAAAGGGGGCCGGGCGTGGTCTTAGCCACGCACCCCCTCGTGTGCCGTGCTGGCCTTCATAGGTGCTCGCTAACAGCACTTGTGCCAACAGTCTGTAAGGGCTATATGGGGGATCTTTGTCTTTGTGTGCTCAGTGCGATACAGCTGATAATACCGATGTCACCAAGCACCACACATCGCTAACTGTAACTTGATTTTATAGAGCACCATCTGGACCTCCGATTAGCATGGTTGGCTATGTACGATGCACAAGAAGTTTAACATACGCATGCAGGGCCTCATAGTGCTTAACGTAAAATAACCCAACTCGTAGCGAACTCTTAACAAATAAAACCCTCAATGTTGTCGTCCAATGGCACACGTGGTGAATTGAGGTGATACCCCCCCCCCCACAGCTATTTTCGTGTGATCCGATTATGTTGAGTAAGTCGAACCGATAACCGGTGGAGTAATCGATTACTTAAATAAATCGGTAATAGCCCGGCTGGATTTTATTTTTTTATTTAAAGCTTTCGTGACTGCAGGGATTCATATTATCGGTTCTTTCGGTAAAGTCACGTAGAAGGGAAAATATAAAATAACTGTTTTTTTTTATATCATTTTATTATTTCCCTTCCACGTGACTTTACCCAAAGAACCAAGAATATGAAGCCCGGCTGGAGTTTATAGTTTTCTCCGCGAAAGGATATTTGATCGACGACAGAGTCACGTGGAGCCTGCAACATCAGCTCCTGTGCAGCGCGGCCACAGCAATAAGACCTTTAGGTTGTGAAAGAGAAAAAAGCCCAGCAGGCGCTGTCGTAAATGTCATGTTGACCACAACGGAATTACAGGACTCTTGCAACTGGGGTCACTAAGCATGCAGACAACGTCCATAATGAATAACCCGAGGTCAACCTCCGGGTCAATGTGTTTTAGGTTAAAACAACAAGTCGCTGATAGGCAAGCGGGCAGAGGGATGGGCGGAAAGTTGACTGAAAACATTCATATCTGCTTCATCATGCGGCTCACTGCAAACGGCAAGCTAAGGGCTCGGCTAGGGTTAGCTTGCATGAGGCTCAGTGGGACAACCGTTGCCTTCGTGTATTGTACGATGTGTGTGATGAATACGGATGTGTGTCCGTTGTATTTACAAAGCAGAGAATGCTCTAAGAGTGTACAAATTCACACATAATAAAATATCAATCTTCATATGCATATATGCAATAATATACATCAAGGGATTGTGCTGGCAGTAGTGCAGGGGTGTATGGGTGTCTCACGGTATCCATAAGGGGCAACCCCCCATGGCGTAGCACTGAGCAACCACTTTGCAGAGCATGGATTCACATTCAGGATGCCACCCACAATTAACAAGACCCTCATGCACACAGCCTGGGACTAAACCCACCGGAATGACCTCAATCTCGTTGGATCTTGGAAGGATTGAGCCTGCTTCGTGACTGGATGGGTGATCACCACACACACACACAGCAGTTTTCACGTATGTGGGGCGACGTGGTGGGTCTATAGAGGGCGCTAGAGCAGCTTCACATTCTATATTTCTGCCCTTCCACATCTGTGTTTTCAGCCATCAACCATGCAGCCAGCACTTACCAGCGTGGCGAAAAATGGTCAAATAACTCGCACTGCACGCAAGGTGTGCGCAGACCCTAATTCTGCGGTTGATTGCAAAAAGGACTGTATTCATGTGCACACATTGAACTTCTAAGGAATAGAGACAAGCGAGAACACCAAAACTCTAGATTCCGACATCTAAAGAAATCGGGGGCATTTTCGGGTGATTTTGGTCAAAGCCGGTAATCACACCGTGTGAGGGCACAAGCGCATAGGTGGTGACCCGACGTGCCAATCACAACAAAAAACACATGGTGGGTTGGCAACGTCTCCCAGCTGAGAACTCGCCTGGTTGCCGAAGACTCCAATGGAGCAGGCAGTGGAGACCTCCCCGGAGCCGAACCAGACGGAGGCGATGCGAGACGGGAGGCCCAGGATGAAGACCTGGGCGATGGCGCACGTGAGCTGGCCGAACACGGTGACGCCGAACAGATGGGGCTTCACGCTGGCCGTCTTCACCCACGCGCCCACGCAGTTGAGGAACGAGCCGAGCAGCGCCACGAGGCGCAGGCCGCGGGTGTCAAGCAGCCACGCGGACGGGAAGATGAGCGGGATGTAGCACAGCATGTAGACCATGGACAGCCAGTCGACGTCCGTGGTGCTCACGTCGTAGTAGCTGCCGGGACGACGTTGCAACGACAGGGACGTCAATCAACGACATCATCATTATCATAAACTAAACTAAAAACGTAACTATTTTTATTTCACCAGGTAAGGCCCACTGAGCTATGTAGCTCTTTTTCAGAAGCGACCTGGCCACAGATAACAACTCAACGTAGTGGCTTATTGCGTGAAAATATAGAGCAGACAGATACTCTTAAACGCAAGTTGATTTTAAATGTGGAGGGAAAAACCGGAGAAAAATCCACGCGACCACGGGGAGAGAGACACGCAAACTCCAGATATACAGGTGTCAGGGTCGGGATCGAACCCACAACCTACGTGTACCAGACGTCGTGGTTAACATCTCGCTCCCGTGGTGCCCGCCATCAGCCCCGTTGCGTACAGGAGGCTGAGCAACCCTTCCCTGCTAATAGCTCAGCCCTCGCGTTTCAAGTCTTCCAATTAACCTGAGTAAGCTGGTTAATGCTTTGGTCAACATTGCTCATGTTGAGACTTTCATCTTTAGATGACAGTCGAATACCAATCAAGCACATCAAAGGGGCCACAGAAATTAGCATGTGAGCCACTCGTTCAATAACCCATTACCAGTTGAATTACGCAAAAGTGTGTGCCCATTCGGTGCCAAACATATTCACGGGGTGCCACACAGTAAGCATGATGCACGTCTGTTGTGCCCTGTCAGCCTGATGCTGGCTTTGAGGCAATGCATTTTTTGTTGCATGAAATATGAATCCCTCGGTATGAGCTGGAGACTACAGTGAGTGGAAGAGCACTTAGCAGAAACTCCCAGGCTCTCCAGTTACATAAAACATAACAAATCAACTTCCAGCCTTCTATTATAAAATAAAACTTTCAAGGGTTTATTTATTTATTGGACACATGGGGTGGGATAGCAGTTGCCTTCCAGGAAACCTGATAAAACTTTCAAACTGCTTCACATTGTGACACACTGGAGACCAAACGGCAGGCTGACATCAATGGAAAAGTCACGTGCCACGCTGTTAATGTCCCATCCTGTGTCAGATTCAAGTCTTTACCCTTGGCTAGTTGCACTGGTTAGATCAACAGGGGGTCACTGCGTGAATGTTGAGACAAATCAGGTGGCTGACCCGAGACACACATGCCTACGTGCGGTGTGAAAACAGTTCAACGTACATCAGAATCTGTATATTTTACTGGAGGAATCCAATGACCATAAAAGCTATTTTTTACATGCATCCAGTAGTTTTCACAGATACATACATTGCACCTACAAATCGCACCACTCCAAGGAGTCAAACATATGCAACAAATTGTGGTTAGCCCAAATAGAATGTCGCCTATAGTGCTGGATAATTATTATAAACTACTGTACAATAATAAGATTGTAGGACCCATTGTAAATGCACTGCTGTCCAATGTTGCAGGAAGCATAATCTGTGACAGGATGTTGATGCAGCATTGTGGCATCCCAGCATGCTGCTATTATATATTTCCAGGGCAGCATTTAAATATAGAATCAAGGCAGCAGCACTGCTGTATAGTACTTCAGTACTGTATGTACGGTACGGTTTTTTTTTTGTGTGCAGAGTATGGAATGGACGAGACGTTCTGACACCCGTCTTATAAAGCTAGTATGGACCCATGGAGGCGATCCAATCTTGCACGTATAACGTATACACCGCGGTGTTTATTGCACTACGGTTTGAAGAGGAGGCTGCCAGTAATGTGAGCCATTGTTACACGAGGACACAATGTGTTGTCATGTTATCATCGGTCATGGTGTAAACAAAAACAACATTTTCAATTGCTTAGCTCTCAAATTATTGTAAAAAATAAATATAGATATAAAAGAATCCACTTGCCAGAGGAACTGTAAAGGGTAGTCCAGATGTATCGTGACTCCATTTAATTCTGGACAAATTAATATTTTTTTTACGTAATATTTATTTAAAACAGAAATTAATAAGCAAAGGGAAACATGTCAGGGGTCGATTAATTGGGGGTCACCAGACATCTGGACCACCCTGAACTCGGCTGGAATGAAAGAGGGAGCTGCGATGATTCACAACGACGACGACGAGTCATTCCTCACCGCCGCTGGGATAAAGAGGTGCAGCAGCGGCAAGGTTGATGCACGAATGAGGCATTACAACATCGATGGCCATTGTGCATGACTTAGGCTGGACAGAGAGAGACAGCGTGGCTCTAACGATGAGTATTGGCAGGTGACAATCGGCCGGGGTAATTGAGGTGCGTGGAATTCAGAGACAGGATTGGATGGGGCGCATCGCGAGAGACAGCAGCTTGCTAGAGGGGATGCTGAGGGCGGATGGAGGGAAAGTCGTAGATTGGGGAACAGGCCATAACTGTCTAGATAGCAAGAGAGATATAAATAAATGTACAGCCGTTTTTCAATCCACCCATGGATGACGGCCACTCCATCTCGGTCATGAGGGTTGTCTGGATATACTTTAACCACGCTGGTGAGTGCCGGGTGGTGAAGGGAGGGCCGCTTCAGATGTCACGAGCCACTGATGTTAGCCTCGGCAGGGAATTGAACTGGGGTCGTAGGCTTCACAGAACCGTGCGAAAGCCACTTCGTTACCGTTCCACAGATGCAGGAGTGCAAACACGGGCAGGATTAAAGTTGGAAGGGGAGATCACCGTAAGGAAGTGGCAGAATTATAGACAACGCACTTAAAAGTGGAACCAGCCCAGAGGCTGAACACCAAATGAAACTGGAGCCAGCCAACAGGCTAAGCAGAGGGAGGCCATCACTGCAAATCTTGAAAACAGTACTGTGTGGTCGTCACCTGCGTGTGAATCACTCCTGGTAACAAACCAAAGTGCAGTACAGCAAGTAGAATGGGGTTTACACCTGGCAGGGTCTGACCCGGACACTTCAGGAATTGTCACGTGTTCGGGTGACAAGCAACTGGTGTGTACCAAGATGTGGTACGGGTATTGAGTTGAACTTCATTACAATATCGTAGTCAGTGCTGCTCCTAATCCTCACGCGGCTCTTCCAAGACTGCTTCGCGACGTTGTTTATTAAGGATCAGAAGTCTAGTATGCACGTGGCATTGCGGCTCTTGAAATATTGAGAGGGTTTTTTTTTACCGAATTCGAAAAAAAGGCTCTTCTTGTTACTTTGGTTGCCGATCCCTGCCCTAGGCTGACTAAATATGTCTGAGTTTGGTCTGTGGTTAAAGGTGGCGACTCTAAAACAGTAGCGTTCTACATGAACTCTGTGTCGACTTGGCATGCGTGCCACAGGCACAACGCCTTTGTTCCTACTCTTTCCAAGCACAAGTGACGTCTGTCAATGAGTGAATCAATGACTCGTATTTAGCCCATTGAGAGGAACGTGTATTTGGCACGGGGTAGCGGTAGCCGTCTGGCTGCATTAGCATGCAGAGACACAAGCCTGTAGAACAGTGATATTCACTGATTTTCAGAGGGGGGGCACTTTCGCCGATAAGACATCGCCAGTGTGAGGGCCGCCACAACATTTGAAACCATTGGGGGGGTTTGACAGCAGCACGATGATGATGATGATGATGGGGTGTTTTCACTCTTTCTGTATGTCGGGGGCCGCACTAAAGGAATAAAGAACACTGCCATAGAATGCGCCTGGTTCTTGAAAGGGTGAGTTCCTGCCATGGCACAAGGGACAGCACACTGGACTTGCAAAGCAGCAGTGGTAGCCGGTTCGTTCTGCTGGCGTGGCATGTTCATTTCTTAGACCTAGGCCTCGGCAAGGGAAGATAATTTACCCTTTTTACCGGGTAAAAGGGTAAAGGGTAAAGATGTCGACATGCCAAGGGGTAAGGTAAAGGGTCGGGTAAAGGTAGCTCGGAAGAATTACCCGGTAGGGTAAAGGAAGCGCGAAGTATTACCAGGTAAATACGGCGCCTTGTTTACCGCTAGAAGCTCCGTGGCGCAGTCCGTGGCCTCCATTTAACAAGTAATATTAAAAAAAACCTTTTTTAAAAACACTCTTTTATGAAATGTACGAGTAATGGCAGAACTCCACGACTCAAGGAAGTGGCCCCGAAGCTTGCCATAACGTAAGGGGGCCGTGGCCAATTACAGCCAACGTCAGTTGACCGTGGACAATTAGACCCAAGCCGAAACATAACATATAAAAAAGAATGTTAAAAAATGTTTCATTTTTTTTATGATAGAATATAGTATTGTTATCAGGAAGACATGAGTATACGAAGTTTGCAGTCGATACCATATTGGGAAGTGGGTTACAAGATTTGAGGATATAACGACAACAACAGACAGTGAGTTTAAAGAAAGCGTGTAAAATTGGAATCATCGAGAGTATTCTATTTGACTAACGCACTCTACCGAGCATTTACCGTTATAAACCTTGTTCATGTGTAGTAGTACCCCAGTAATTACCATGTAATCGGGTAATTTGTATGTGGTAAGGGTAAAAGGTAGGGTAAAGGTAGGCTCGTTGTTTTTACATTTTAACTTTTACCTTACCTTGCCGAGGCCGACTTCAACCACCCCAGCACCTTGGCCACCCAATAATATAAATGGATCGGAAAGTCGGCATGGAAGAGTAGGCCAAATACCCTCTAGACGGGATGTCGAGAGCTCCGTACAATGGAGGCTCTTCCGCCAACAGTAGTGTGTGCAAGCAGTTGCAGGGCCGTACCTTTATCTTTTTAAATCCTTTATATTAAGTTAACTTGCTTGCTTGCTTGCGCACTTACGACCGTGCAAATCTTTCGGTCGTTTTTTAACCCACTTCCCGTGATCCAATCGAGCTGACATTTTGCACACAGACTCGTTGTGCGTGACAATTTATTTTCGTGAAATTTTTTCCCCAATATTTTCCACTTTTTAGGAAAAAAAATTCATATTTAATTTAAAATACCATCTTCTTCTTCCTAGCGTTGTTCCCGCTGTGGCGCAGGGTCCGCTTTTCGGCATTGTCTTCTCCATTTGGCTCGGTCCAGGGCATCTTCAGGGGATGCGTTGACCGTCTTCATGTCTTCCTTTATTCGGTCCATCCATCGCTTCTTCGGACGTCCGCGTGGACGGCGGCCCTCTGGCTCAATACGCACGGCAGTCTTGGCCACTGATGACTCTTCACTTCGCATCACATGGCCGTACCACCGAAGCCTTGCCTCAAGCATCTTGTCCGCAATGGGGGCCACACCAAGTCGCTTCCGAACGTCTTCGTTCCTGACACAATCCCATCGAGTGAGCCCGAGGCTCCATCTGAGCATCCTCATCTCCATGGCGTGGAGAGCTTGTTCGTGTACAGTTGTGGCTGGCCAGCACTCGGATCCATAGAGTGCCACCGGTCGGACGATGGTCTTGTATATTTTTCCCTTCAGCCTATCCGGCATTTTCCGATCACAGAGGACTCCGGTGACTTGCCTCCATTTCATCCACGCCGCATTGACTCGTGACCTCACATCAGTCGTGATGCTACCATCTGAGCTGATGGTGGAGCCCAGGTACTTAAAGTCCGTCACTTTCTTCAGATCTTCTCCGTCAATACTGATGGTGCCGTCGGTTTGGGGGCCACACTCCATATACTCCGTCTTTTTGATGTTGAACCTCATCCCGTTTTCGTCCAAACGTTCCTTCCACAGGCGCGTTTGTCTTTCCACTTCTCCTCTCTCTTCATCTGAGAGGAGGACGTCATCCGCGTAGAGAATTGACCATGGAAGGGGCGTGTGCAGGTCGGCAGTGATCGTGTCCATGCACAGGATAAACAGGAGTGGTGACAGGGCCGATCCTTGGTGCACTCCAACGCTGATGGGAAATGGCGGTGATATGCCCACTGCACACCTGACTGCACTGGTGACGTTCTTGTATAGGAGTTGCACCCAATGCACGTAGGTTTCAGGGACTCCATGGGATCGAAGCGAGTGCCAGATGAGGTCGTGGGAGACCCTGTCAAATGCCTTTTCAAGGTCGAGGAACGACACGTGCACAGCTTTGTTCTTCTCTCTGTGCCTCTCCAGCAGGAGCCTCGCCGCGAATATGGCGTCCGTAGTGCCACATCCTTTGACGAAGCCGCATTGGTTGGGTGATAGGGTGATGATGTTTCTAATCCTCGTGTCCAAAACTCGCTCAAAGATCTTCATCGCATGACACAGGAGCCTGATTGGCCTGTAATTCGAGCATTCTGCCACGTCCCCTTTACCCTTCCAAATTGGAACCGTCGTGCTGGTCGACCAGGCTTCTGGGACCTCACTGGTGCTCGTGATGGTGCTGAAGAGCTGGGTAAGGAGGGCAGCACCCTGCCTGCCAAGGATCTTCCAGGCCTCAGCAGGGATATCGTCCGGGCCAGTCGCTTTCCCATTCTTCATTCTCTTGATAGCTTGTTCCACTTCGGTGATGGTGATAGGTGAAACCGGACCGAGGACGTGTTCAGCACTAATAATAGGTGGGTGGGGAAATTCCTGGTTGCAGATTCCAGAGAAGTAGTTGCTCCAGCGTTGAAGGATGGCGGGCGGGTCTCTGAGAGCGCTGTGATTCTCATCCTTTATGCATTTGACCTGACCAATATCCTGAGTCGAACGATGGCGCGCCTCTGCCAGTCGATAGATCTTATTGGCACCTTCTGGGGTGTCCAGTTCGACATACAGTTGGTCGTATTGAGCTAATTTCACCGCTGCAACTACTCGCTTCGCTGCCGATTTGCAGTTTCTGTAATGTTGGTAATCCAGATCTGCGAGCGTTTGGCGCCACTTTTACTCAAGAAACACAAATAATAAAATAAAACCGATGCCACGCATATAAAGGATTTATAGTGAAATTTTTTTTTTAAAAGCCTACAGCTCAGGATAAGCTGAGCGGGAAAACTGTTAGAAGTTGATTCATATTTTCAACTGGAATGAAATACGAGCTATATGTTTACCAGCACCATCGCAACTTAAATTGTGTTGATGAATTGAGAGAACTTGATCACTCAACTTGGTTTGTACAAGTGGCCACGTGACATTATATACACACGCAGACCTCGCTTAGGGCTCAAGATGCGTTCCTGGAAAGGTGAGCGCTAATCGAATCTGCGCTAAGAGGGCTCGTCATGCCGTTGTACTCACGGGGATGCATTCCCTACCGCGTTATTTCTTACGTACGAGCAATATAAGAGGGTTTAATTGGGGTATCGGTAATATAACTACCAATAATACAGGTGGTAAACATTAGCCTACATACACAGTACGTCGGCTAATGTTTACCATCTGAATGTTGGCGAGTCGTGCTACGAAGCCGGCACGGCACACGAGGGGGGTTGAGTGGCCAGCACCACGCCCGGCCGCCTTTGTCTCCCCAGTGCCGATGTTTACACACCGCACCAGGTACTCATTTGAGGCTGAGTTGACCTAGGGGAGACCCAGGACCAGTTCAGATAATCGTCTCTGGGGTGTTGGTAGTGGCCGTGAGCGGTAATCAAATTCGGGTCACCGGGTTCATTGTGCAGCGCGCGCCAACCGCTGCACCACCGCTCCCTACTGGCGCTCACGCAGAAACACACATCGTGTGTGTCTGTGTGTGTGCACACATCGTGTGTGTGTGTGTGCACACATCGTGTGTGTGCCTGTGTGTGTGTCTGTGTGTGTGTGCACACATCGTGTGTCTGTGTGTGTGTCTGTGTGTGTGCACACATCGTGTATGTGTGTGTGTCTGTGTGTGCACACATCGTGTGTGTGTGTGTGTCTGTGTGTGCACACATCGTGTGTGTGTCTGCGTGTGCACACATCGTGTGTGTCTGTGTGTGCACACATCGTGTCTGTGTGTGTCTGTGTGTGCACACATCGTGTGTGTGTCTGCGTGTGCACACATCGTGTCTGTGTGTGTGTCTGTGTGTGCACACATCGTGTGTGTCTGTGTGTGCACACATCGTGTCTGTGTGTGTGTCTGTGTGTGCACACATCGTGTGTGTGTCTGCGTGTGCACACATCGTGTCTGTGTGTGTGCACACATCGTGTGTGTCTGTGAGTACACATTGCGTGTGTGTCTGTGTGATTACACATCGTGTATGTGTGTGTCTGTGTGTGCACACATCGTGTGTGTCTGTGTGTGTGTACACATCGTGTGTGTCTGTGTGTGTGCACACATGGTGTCTGTGTGTGCACACATCGTGTGTGTCTGTGTGTGTGCACACATGGTGTCTGTGTGTGCACACATCGTGTCTGTGTGTGCACACATCGTGTGTGTCTGTGTGTGTGTCTGTGTGTGCACACATCGTGTGTGTCTGTGTGTGTGCACACATCGTGTCTGTGTGTGCACACATCGTGTGTGTCTGTGTGGGTGTCTGTGTGTGCACACATCGTGTCTGTGTGTGCACACATCGTGTGTGTCTGTGTGTGTGCACACATGGTGTCTGTGTGTGCACACATCGTGTGTGTCTGTGTGTGTGCACACATGGTGTCTGTGTGTGTGCACACATGGTGTCTGTGTGTGTGCACACATGGTGTCTGTGTGTGATTACACATGGTGTCTGTGTGTGATTACACATGGTGTCTGTGTGTGTGCACACATGGTGTCTGTGTGTGCACACATCGTGTGTGTCTGTGTGTGCACACATGGTGTCTGTGTGTGCACACATCGTGTCTGTATGTGCACACATCGTGTGTGTCTGTGTGTGTACACATCGTGTGTGTCTGTGTGTGATTACACATGGTGTCTGTGTGTGCACACATCGTGTCTGTGTGTGTGCACACATCGTGTGTGTCTGTGTGTGATTACACATGGTGTCTGTGTGTGCACACATCGTGTCTGTGTGATTAAACATCGTGTGTGTGTGAGCACACATCGTGTGGAATTGTAGGAACTACCCGACTTACTATTCACCATTCATAGGCAGTGCGTTAACGCTTACATTAAATGCTCTTTATCATGATGGCCAGAACGACCCAACGCACACCACGTGGTGTGCGTTGTGGTGGCATCTACCAACCCACACCACGTGGTGGTGGTGGTGGCATCTACCAACCCACACCACGTGGTGTGGGTTGTGGTGGCATCTACCAACCCACACCACGTGGTGTGCGTTGTGGTGGCATCTACCAACCCACACCACGTGGTGTGCGTTGTGGTGGCATCTACCAACCCACACCACGTGGTGTGCGTTGTGGTGGCATCTACCAACCCACACCACGTGGTGGTGTGGGTTGGTAGATGCCACCACCACCACCACGCTGTGGTGGTGGTGGCATCTACCAACCCACACCACGTGGCGGTGGTGGCATCTACCAACCCACACCACGTGGTGTGCGTTGTGGTGGCATCTACCAACCCACACCACGTGGTGGTGTGGGTTGGTAGATGCCACTGGTGGTGGTGGCATCTACCAACCCACACCACGTGGCGGTGGTGGCATCTACCAACCCACACCACGTGGCGGTGGTGGCATCTACCAACCCACACCACGTGGTGTGCGTTGTGGTGGCATCTACCAACCCACACCACGTGGTGGTGTGGGTTGGTAGATGCCACTGGTGGTGGTGGCATCTACCAACCCACACCACGTGGCGGTGGTGGCATCTACCAACCCACACCACGTGGTGGTGTGGGTTGGTAGATGCCACCACCACCACCACCACGCGGTGGTGGTGGTGGCATCTACCAACCCACACCACGTGGCGGTGGTGGCATCTACCGCAGGCGGACACGTACGAGACACCCGACCTGTAGGGTCGAGTTCTCCCCGCATCGTCACAACTCCGATCGCCCACGACGCGGACCAGCGCGGTGAAGTATGGTCACAGCCCGCCGCTCACCCGGCGAAGATGTTGTTGATGATGCCGTACTGGATCCACTGGAAGGCGCTGGTGAGCGAGTAGGCGCTGAACACGAACACGATGACCCAACGACGGCGGAACAGGCGCGTCTCCACGACACCCGCCGACTCGTCAGGGCTGGGCGAGGGGTGACAGCGATCCGAGTCCCCGGCGGCACCACCACCATCACCATCAACACCACCATCAACACCATAAGCACCAGCAGCAGCAGCAGTGGTAGCCGCGGCTCCTTCAACACCATCGCCGGATGGCGCCTTTTGTTTCATTCTCCCGACTATGCTGCCGCCGCCGCAAGGCTGACTGTGTGTGTGTGTCTGTGATGTCTGTGTGTGTGTCTGTGATGTCTGTGTGTGTGTCTGTGATGTCTGTGTGTGTGTGATGTTGACTGTGTGTGTGTGTCTGTGATGTCTGTGTGTGTGTGATGTTGACTGTCTGTGTGTGTGTGATGTTGGCTGACTGACTGTGTGGCTGTGTGTGATGTTGGCTGACTGTGTGTGTGTGTGGTGTTGACTGTCTCTGTGTGTGTGATGTTGGCTGACTGTGTGTCTGTGTGTGTGTGTGTGATGTTGGCTGTCTATGTGTGTGTGATGTTGATGGTGGTGGGGGTGATGGCTGTCACACACAGCAGCTGTGTCCTGCCACGCGGCCTCGCTATTTCACTTTAACCCTGTGGCTTCTTTTAAGGAATTGCCACGCTGGCAGCGGCACCCTTACAAACGTAAATTACAATTAAAAGGTCGTCGTATTATAATGATCGCTTACGGCACTGTCGGATTAAATACCGCGTGGACTTCCGTTATTCACTGGAGGCGTCTGTTGATTCACGTGGCAGCTGCAATAGTCGCAAACCTCCGAGTCGGTCGTCAATAATAAATGATGTTGGCACTTTTGAAAGAGCTCTCACTCCGAGTGAGTGAGGGACGTCCTCTTCTCGTTCGTTCGTTCACGCAATGATGGTGTGGAGAGTTAATGGGAGCGGTTTTCGCAATTGCCCGTGTCAACATCCACACACACGGCCGCTTTATCTGAGCCCACAAGCTTTGCTCGAGTAATAATCTCTAAATCATTATTGTTACCAGCAGCAGAAAACGCGTAGCGTGAAGTTGTCCATAGTCCGAACCACGTGTTCCACCCGCCGATACAGACCACCACCACCACAAGATAATGATACACGATGTACACTCTTCGATAACTTTATACTGTTTATAAACGTATGGCAGGATCGATCCGCAGACGACGTCTGAATGGAGAACACTAACTCCTAACAGACTTGCTCTGTGGTTTAAAATAATTACATCATTACCATTGTGTTTAAACAGGGGCACAGAGGCGTGCATTCAGGCACACATCCCCGCGTGATTCTATACAAGAGAAGCCGTGGCGAGGCAGCTGACACTGTGCCAGATGACCAAATACCACACGATGCACCCCTACCCCCGAGGCACACACACACACAGCCACCAACCACGAGCTCTTATCATCACCGCAATCCGTCAACCCCTGCCCGGCCAGCGCACACGTGTCCCGCGTGCGCGTCACTCTCCACGTGGTTCGCAGTTCGTCGTCTGACTGCGATGATGCGTTGGGTGGGTCCGGGACGTTCTTGGCACATCCTCATCGCGAGGATATTCTGCTTCCCGTTGCACATTGTGCGTGTTTATTATATACACTCCTGTAACCGTCATCATACAGTGTATGAAGAAGTTCTTTATTGCATTGCCCCAGGGGAAGACTTTTATTTTACTTCCAAACTTGTTTTGTTGGAAGAATGTGCTGAATGTATGTTGCACTTCTTTCGCACCGTACGTAACCAACCGTGATAAACGGAACACAAGCAGTTCTAAATAAAGTAGTTTTCAATCTGCATGATTTAAATGTGCACAGCTCCAGTGACTTACTAACATCGCAACGAAGAGCGTTCCAGAAGCAGTGGCTGTCTGTGATGGTTCGCCAAAAGTCGCTGCGAGGATGACGGAGGTCGCGAGATGGTTCACGCTCCTTGGCGAGACCAGCGAGGGCATTGTGAGATCGCTTGGCTCACTGTGTTCGTTTTGGTGACAGGTGGAAGATGAAGTGATGAATGAAAACACGTGCACATTGAGAAAACATAAAGTACTGCCACTGTGAAGCAGTCACTCACGTGCTGTGCTGGCCCTCAAAAGGATTTTATTGATTTAATTTATTTTTTATCTACGTGACTTTACCGAAAGAACTAAGAGTACTCAAAAGGACTGCCCCGCACGGATTTGATGTGCCGAGAAAGCTACGGAGCTCCTCCCTTCATTCTCGACGTGAAGTTCTCGTGACTCCGGTGCTCCCATCACCCGCTTCAGAACATCAGCTCGTCGCTGCGCCCACACATCCATGGCATGTGGAGAATTGAGGACAATCCGTGGTGTGCACCGCAGCCACCCGAAGCCAGACAACTCCGCATCCTCCACCCGCTCTCCGGCGCGGACTGAGCGGTGTTAGTCGCAGGCGGCTGCTCCCAAAGCTATCGCATGGCTCGCAGACTCAAAGTTGGACGTGTGCTTTGCCATACACTAGAAGATAAAAAGGCGAATGAATGATCTCAACACCCCAGTAGGCATGCGAAGTTGTGTTGTCGTCGTTCCCAATTCTGGGTTGCAGAAACTCAAGGCGTGCACCACGATTCCTGGCCACTTAACATAATACTTGTCTTTCCATCTATACGTTTCAAAAAGTAAAAATCCTGTAATTATACCCATCCGTGCAATAACCTACTGAGACACCAATGTTACCTAAACATGAAGTAAAAATATATTGGAAGTGAATGATCGTACATTTGCATAACAATTTTTATACTGTACATTTAATTTTTATTTAAAGCTTTCGTGACTCCAGGGATTCATATTCTTCATCACCTGATGGTGATTGCTTGTGTTGCAGTCGAAACGTCGTGAGAATATGTATTGTTTTATAATTTTTTTTATTTCCCTTCTACGTGACTTTACCGAAAGAACCAAGAATACTGTACATTTTATTTCCATGCTGTACTGAATGTAATACACACTGAATTAACCTTTTACATTGGCACAAATTGCGGTAGGCATGCGTCCGTGAAAAAGAGGAATTGCATCAACACCCTCCCTACCACAGCGTCACATGCCCGAGTACTGTCATCCGCATGAAATCACATGCATGTACGTTCACCCACTCACGGGGCTATCACGAGGCCTTTAAGTAAAGACAAAACGCAGTAGAAAGATGCCCTATTTCAGTCTTCTAGGCATTTGAGACAAGCGCTGTCAGTAAGCACACATTAAGGCTGTAAAATCACACAAGGAGGTGATGACGATGTTGGCCAAACCACGTAAAATCCTCATTTTACACCACGTTCACCTAGGGGAGGCCCAAGCCAAGTTCACGTTCCATCTCCCAAAACTTGTCGAACAGTGCGGTGACCACTAAGACACGACTGTGCAACTCAAACTCTTGCACGGTGCCTTGCGTGTGACTCAGATGTCCATCGGTTAAATGTACTCTTCCTGGATTTGAAGCTTTCGTGACTGCAGGAATCCATACTCTTTGGTTCTTTCGGTAAAGTCACGTAGGTAGAAAATAAAATAGATCACGACGTTTCGATCGCAACACAAGCGACCATCATCAGGTGAGACAATCACGTTTCCCTGCTGTGACTTTACCGAAAGAACCAAAGAGTATAAACGTCCTCTTGTCAAGAACATCCGGTAATCAGTAGAATTTGTTTAACAGGCTGACTGCTTTCGTAAACAAATTCTGCTTGATAATATTATTCTGCTAAACTAATAGGCAGATGGACTCAAATATATATGAGTTCTGCGTGTCCTGTGCCTCTCCCCACAGCAAGCAGCGTGTTCAATGTAGCACTCCGTGGAGACTGTTACGGGGTAGTTCTGGCCCAGCGGCTACCATCACAGCATTTTCAATAACACGGAAGTTGGCTTCTTCAAAACTGGATGTATTCATACAGATGGAGTCATGTAATGTAAAATTGTGTATTTAACACAATTGCTGGTGCCATGTACTGTGACATATGCATCAGTACAAAGTACTTTCCTGATAACAGCCCTCTTACAAGATGCAATTCATAACTTGTGGCTTATTTTGACTTAAAATGTTTTCATTGTATCCTATTACTAAGAACACCAAGAATGTGTGTGTGTCCCGCGCGAGACGTCACTCCACATGAGCCCCCCCCCCCTCATTAATAATCACGAACAGGTGACGTCCTCCAAATGGACCCCCCACCATTAATACTAATTAGCGGGCGAGGCGCCTCCTCCCCCCTCCTCAGCGTCAACTTACAACCTTCACTACAAAGGCAGAACCCTCACGTCACGCGATCTCCGTAAGACATCGAAGTAAAAAGGACGTCATGATGAACAAGGGATTATAACCTTTAAATGAAATAGGTCTGTCACCGCGGCCTTACAGATTGCACGCGCATTGAATATCACGTCGCGGTCTGCTTTTCGCTTGCAAATTTCAGATTTAGTGCAATACACCCGTCCTTGGACGGGCTATAGGCTAGTATTCATTATTTATACAAACTATAAAGTGTACATGTTTATTCTCTTTCTGATTAAGATATGTTTTGGAAGGAGATCGATTATTTTATTTTACCAATGCCTGTCAGTACGTCCGCTGCGGAGGTAGAGCAATGAAATCAGCTCGTGTGCTGGTGTCTGATGGATTGTGACGTTGCTTTGGGAGGCCTTCATCCAGCAGTGGATACTCTGGCTGCTGATGAGGATTGAATTTATCAACAATTTTTAAATCACACAAAATTGCATTTATTCAAACAAAAAAGCTAAACGTAAACCCCGTAGACGATGATGTGTAATCTTATTTGAGTAACTCGCAGGCCATTTTTGTATGTAGATGCTGATGCCGGTGCACGAAAGGACGTTAACGGGATCTTTTAACGACTGCCGTGAAGCAGCCAAGGCGTGAGCAAGCAGTTGCAGGGCTGCACCCTTACCTACCCAAATAACCAAGGGAATGGTGCAAAAATGTAACGGCTTATGGAACTCCACATATTAGCTCCTGTAAAGTAGCGCAGTATGGATGAGTGCATTTGCAACATTATTCATCGGTCGCACAACGCAAATGTACAGAGCCGGCAGAAACTGAATGGCGTGCAAATGTCGTCTAAAAATACTCACAGTTGCTCAACCCCGGGCAAGCTCGATAAGCGGCATCATTGCGCCATTTGATTGGACCAGTCAGATAACCGACGCGGACAGAAAGTGGGGGCCCGCTTTCACTGGGCTCGAGTTACAACAGGATCCCAAAACAAATGTGGCCATAATTTTCGTATGGGAAATCAACTCTGCAGGCTGGCCAAATAAGAAGGTCTGAGCAAAAAACTCACTCACAAGAAAGCGCAGCCAAGGGCCAGATTCGAATTGTTTCCATGTGCAGTTGCTTCCCTTTACTGGATGACCCCGCTGACGAATTTACCTGGCTCAACCACCTCAAAGTAAATTGTATATTCGTTACTCTCCATTAACACCAGCCATATGCAGAAGGCGACTGTTTTAAAACCACTCATGCCAAACATTCCATTGTTACATATCTTGGATATTTCCATTCTAGTTGTCAATGTGATATATTAATTATGAAAATGAAAGTGAAAAGGAACACAACTTTAAACATTGGCACGTTGTTTGGAATTATGCATTATCATATTATGACCTAAATTCCCAAATTATCTATAGAACTTGTAAGTACTGCACTGTATTGCAGTACAGTGCTATATTCTTGGGTCTGTCGGTAAAGTCACGTAGATAAGTTGAAAGAAAATAACAAAAAAAACTACGACGTTTCGATCACAACACAAGCGATCGTCATCAGGAGGACGATCGCTTGATGACGACCGCTTGTGTTGTGATCGAAACGTCGTAGTTTTTGGTTGTTATTTTTTTTCAACCTATCTACGTGACTTTACCGAAAGACCCAAGAATGTGAATTCCTGCAGTCACGAAAGCTTCAAGTCAAGATTCAGTACAGTACTGTAGATTTTGGGGGGAGCCTCTCAAAACCCGACGCCCTGGCCTGCAGTCCGTAACGCCTAGGTAGAAATGGCTCCGTAAGCAGTGAGCAAAACTGTCAATCATCCTGCCTGGTGGTTGTTCCTTCTCGGCATTACCTACTGCATCGAACTTCCTCTACTTGGCAATCCGTATCGATAATGTCGTGTGACCCGTGGCGCCTAGGCAACACGCGCACAATGTCTCGGGTCAGAGTCCCTCTTTGGCTTCTTGAACGTAAATGTACAGGGTGGTCCAGATGTCTTGTGACCTCCATTTAATTCTCTAACACATCTTTTTTTAAAGTTAAGTTTATTTAAAACGAATGGTACATTAATTGGGGGTCACAGGACATCCGGAGCACCCTGCACAAGACGACGCGCAGTCCACCCCTGGACTAACCACCCCCAGGCCTCCCCGGGGCCGTCACGTCTCCACCACACACGCCACGTGGCTTTCCGT